GCTGTCGGCCGAGGTGGCCTCGAAAAATCGTTATCGTTCCTCCCATTTCGCCCCCTACTCTTTTTCCTCGCATCTTTTTTTCTTTCCCGCGTCGGCACAACTCCAATGTTGCGCAAATGTGGTGGGTGACGAAACAATTTCGACCCGCGGGTTTGGTTTGTGTTTTGGGGGCAGCTCTTCGTGCCGTGTCTATCGGTGTTGCCAAGGTGTTCGTCAAACCGCAAAATCCTTGGGAGTTCCAGATCCCTGTTGTGGGAAAACGGCGCGAGATGGGAGGGAGGGTGGTGTAGGCTGAGCGCCCGCCCAGCGGGAAATTTGTAGGTGGGAGGACAGCGGATGCGAAAAACCTTGGTGCTTTAAAGGCTGAAGGCAGTCTTGTTCCGCTTGATCATGCTCTCCCACTCTGGTGCCAGAGGCCTGGGTGGTTGGCAGTCCCCTGAAATTTACCCCTGTTAGCCTCCTTTTCTCAAGTTTAGCACATCGCCTCGAAAGCGGATGGTTGACGGATGTGGTGGTGCACAAGGAGTGGAAATGATGGGAGGGTGATTCAGTCCGAGAACCGGGGGCGTTGTAGAGTGGGGGTTGCTTTAGGGAGGGATGGGATGCGGTGAAAGCTTCCATCCCTCAACCCGCAGACAAGACATCAAGGGAAAAAAACAAAGACGAACCGCCCGCACCACCTGCATCGCCAAACGACTCGGTGGTAACAGGGACATCGCGGACAGGACTAGTGCTAGTGCTGGTGCTGGTGCTAGGGGATGGATTGAGGAAATGGAGATCAAGGCCAAGGGGAGAGGATACGGCATCTCCTCGAAGAAAGCGGGAAACCCAATCGAAAATCACCGAGTAAAACTCACCACAGACTCTATCGCCCCTGTGGAAAACGTTGGTTAGCCTTTCGCTCACTGGCTGCTTATTGCTGATTCACAAGAAGGTGGGGGCGGAAACGAAGCGAGCTTGGGGAGAATCAGCGTACCAGTATTCCCAATGCACCACGTTTGGAGGGCATGGCCTCTCCGTCTTCCTGTAGCTTGGGCACCAAGCATGTACGATGTGTTTGATGTGGCCGCACTTGAGCTCTCGCTGTCCAGGTGAAGCTTGGTTAGATCAAGACGCCATGGCCGAAGCGACCGAATACGGGTTTGCTGTGTAGTACCTGAATATAATCACACATGCTGCCAACGAAAAGTCCAAGTTTCCAACGGGTTCGAGAGTTGGAGGCACCGAGAAAGCGGTAACGGACCCGGGCGTTGGGTGCAATCACCAAGTTCGATCCAGTATAAGCGAGGCGTGCACCGTCTAAATTCGAGGAAGCTTGGAGTTTTGAGGATAACTCAAAGAGGGGCAGAGGGGCAGAGGGTCGGATGGAAGGCCTAGGTAGATTGCAGCAAGAGGAAGTTGTGTTGTGTAAAGATCGTATCCACCGGTTCGTCTCCGGAAAAGCCAAGATGGTGTTAGGGAGGTCGAAGGGTTGTGGTGGAGCAGTTGGGTGTCGGGTTGGTGATGCGTCTAGTCAAGGTACAGCGAGTTGAACGGACTTCGTTGGAGTGGGGAGGAGAAGTGTATTTAAGCTTCAGAAATAGTATGCAGAAGAAACCACTGCTCAAAGGACTAGAGTACCTTGTGGGACAGAAACATCCATCGGAGTACAATCCAAGGTACAAACTTGGCCCAAGGTGAGAGCAGGAGCGAGTGGCATGGGAAATGCCAGGCAGAGTATAGTACAACGGCTGTTGGCGTCTTTTCGGCTTCAACCGCTATTAGAAGGTGAAAGGTGAAGGACCGGACGCCTTGCCAGAGACAGCCAGGATCAATGGAGAATCCAAAGTCCCTTGGAGACTGGCCCTTGGTGGAGGGGCAAGTCCCAAGTCCCAAGTCCTCAAGGGCCTTGGAGTAGGGGCCGGGGGTACCGCCGGTGGGTTTTTTCTTCTTTTTTGTCCCTCTCTTTTCTTCTTGCGGTTCTTTTGGCGCGCGAGCCAAAACTGTCCCAAATGGGTGTCAATGCATCAACAGATACTTCCATCCACCCTTCCAAATCTTCGCTTCTCCAACGATCCGGGGTGTCAAGGGCGATTTCGAAGTCCCCGAGGGAAGGTGCGGCCGGGCAGGGGTGGAGGCGTGTGCTAACCACCCCTGCTCTGAAATCTCAATCCTTGCTAACCCCCAGCCGTGGAGGATCCTCTGGAAATCAACTGCCGCTAGCAACATATTGAAGGGTTGGACTCTCTGATAACGGAGGTTGAGCCACTCCGTTCGTATCCACCATCTAATGAATTCCCTATCAGTACTAGTGGACGAATACGTCCTATGACAATGGGATCCACGTGTGTTTACGCTCTGGCTCTGGTCGCAATCCAGACAGCTAGATGAGTGGATATGTGTGGGACTGGGACTAAAGAACACCCAGGTTGCTCCTAAATAATTCTTGGAAAGAGACAAAAAGGCAAGGACCAAAGAAACCCTCAACACCAAAGCCCTGGAGGAGTAGTGTCTGGTACAAGCACGCTACAAGTAGTTACTAATATCAGTCGTTCATTTTGATCTTTCTGGTAGATGACCCATCCATCCTAGATCTTTCTATCCCTCCTTCCTCTCTCGAGTTTCTCCTTGGTTGTGTTCCTGGCGAGCTTTTGTCTCAGATGATGCCAGTGCCAGTTTCTCCGTCCAGAGCTCGCAGTAATATCCGTCTGTCCCCTTCAAATGATTGATACTTCTCGCCCCACTCTCAGAGCGTAAATGAGCTCGGCTAAGAGCGAGTCGACCTGAGGTCTCCACCCCGGTGTAGCAGCAACACCGGCTGGTGCCCCGGGAGCCCAGAGGCATACAGTGGCAACAAATTGATGGTGTTGTCGAGTCGACGCAAATTCTTCAAGAGCACTGAGGAATGTCGCGGGCCTTTGATGATCTGACTCCAGGTCCCCGAGACCACAGGCGCGCCAAGCTGATACAATGGCCCGCCAGAAGGTGATTAGAAGTGCGGGCCTCATGACCCCTTCATGGAGCTACACCCACAGATCTGTGTAATACCAAACATAATCTCTCACTTGATGGTCCCACATCATCGCTCAGTCTTATACACTCGAGAGAACCGTCTGGCTAGTTTGACACTTGACCTCAATAGGTGGGAATAGAACTCATCCGCTTGGAGAGATACGCACGTTGATCTCCCGGGAGCCGTTCCCTTTTTCCTCTTCTCCCCTGCCCTCTGCCCTATTTCCTTCGTCTTGCTTTTCTTTTGGTCTCGTTTAGGCCGATGCAAATTCTAGAAAGGGAAATCAAGCCGTCCGAGAACCAAGAGGCATCAAGAGCGCACACCATTCCAATAACTGCTGGCTCCGCGTGGATCTCTAAGGATGATCTGTGCTTCATCCCCACTCACCTCATGCACACCAGGCCTGTAACGCCCGGCAAAATCTGGATCTGACGTCCAAGAGCAGGCTCACCGGGGCTCGGTAAGGCCTCAAATAGTTTGCCATGAGGCCACCCCAACATACCTGAGCGGCCCTTCCAAGGCTCAACCACTCGACCTGCCACCGGCCAACCAGGAGCGCGATAGCATCCAGCATAACCGAAGAGGTTGGCAACCCGGGCCAGTGTTGCTCGTGCTACCGATGATGATGGACGGGAAATAGCTGGCAGGACCCATTTATGGTAAATTGATGTTTTTTTAATGTCGGCGGCGCTCGTCTCATGAAGCCTAGCAACTGTGACTTGGCGGCTTCTCGGTGGTTACATAGGTTGGACTAGGACAACACGAGATGAGGCCCGTCAGATGTTAATTTTCTTCAGGCCTTTGAAACCATTGACTGGCTGGTTTTCTCCGGACCAGACTTAACTAGTTCATAGTGGCAACTTCAGGGAAGTGGAGGAGGCAGTGGGTCCGCAAGGCTCAAGGTGGAACAAGAGTCTCATTTGTGAGAGTTTCACGGGCTTCGAGAACACGCGCCAGTCCACCTATTGACCAGGGGGCGGTGCTAAGGACGGGGTACGAGGTACTTGTGTCTCGGAGAGCTCCTGGGATTCCCATTCGAAGCAGCCAAGCAGCATCGTCTCTTACTGAGGCAAGTGAATACCAAACAAGGAGCTGTCATTCGAAGTTTATTGATGTTTAGAGAAGGGGCAATCGCGGGCTAAGGTATTGGTACACTAACCCAGTCAATGGGAAAGGGGGTTTGGTGGGAATCCACGAGGCACGGGTCGATCAACACAGCACCACTTGTCGCTCGTGGAAGGCACGGACCAAAACAGCTCGCCTCAAGTGCCCAGAGGCTCATCAAATTGGCCCAAACCCAGCCACTCACTAGTTATCATGGAAAGGGCATTGCACGAGGGAGGAAGGGAGTGAAGAAAAGAAGGAGAAAAAGAGAAAATAAAATATACCATGGAAACAAAAGAGGCTAGCAAATACCCCCTCCGCTACCCACCTGGCTTACTTGAGTCCAAGGTGTGAAGGGTTCTTTGCAGCTTGAGCACTGATCCAGCGGCTCCGACTGCCTTGTGTTGATTGGCAATTAATGTCCTCGATCACATCTACCTTTATCCCGAGGGGCGTGCATCTGAAGGTCCAATCCGAGCCATCAATGGGTCGGCGGCCATATCACCAGGACGATGCGGAGATTCTACTGCACTCTCCTTTGACGACGCCCAGCCTGTCATATTTTTCACATGACACCTGACCCCTGGCGGCCTGGTCTTACCCCACGGGTCATGCCTTTGGCCTGTGGCGAATGGGGAAGGAGGTGCATTGCATTGGAGCTTCGACGCTCAAGGTCGATTTTTGGCCATGTCCTGACCATGTTGGTGCCCTGCTTATTGTGAGATTCCTCGACCCGTTCGGCCCCATCCCTTGTTGCTGCACGAGTGCCTGGGTCGTGCTCCTGATTCTGATTCTGAGCAAGCTTGGCTAAATAATGCCCTCTCCTCCCCTCTCTTCGTACATGTAATTGAGTGGGTTCTGAGGCTGCGGCCGGATCATGTCCAAAACAAATCCGGGGTGCAGCATGCTAGCCGGCGATGGGTCTAAGCGGGGAACGAGCAGTGTATTGACGGTCAGCTATCCACCGCTCTTAGATTGAAGGCAGGATTTCAGCGTCTCAGTGGCTGACCCGGTCCTTGTAGCTTCTCCACAGATCTACTCTGCAGGATGATATTTTTACTAATAAAAAAGGCTGCACGAATAAGAGGGTTGAAAGGCGTCCATTGGTTTATACGAATATTAGCTATCATCCTCGGTTCTCGCTCGAGAGGCAGAGAACGGTGGTCCTGTTCCAAGGTATGGCCTCCAAAGCGTCCAGTCTGCCGCCAAAGCGGGGCTAATGGGTTGATGGGTCTGACTGACACTAACGAGCAGCGCCTCGCGAGCAATTCTAGCAACCATCACAAAGAGGGCGTTCCAAATGAGGAGTCCGTTCTGATACTGGGTCGTTAACGGGCTGGAGAAAATGGGATTTTTACCCCATCCCTGAAACGGCACTAAAATCTCCTCGTCGCTACGGGTGCTAGCATCTTGTCGGGAGAGCGGGCACGGGAAGCCTTTCTAGCTTTTCATTCTAGCCCTTTATATACACTCCGACTTCGTTTAGGATGTGTATATTTCAAAGATTTTTGGCTGGGGAAGCTAGGCTCTGGCGCGACACCCAGCGACTCTCTCCAAAATTTATTCCGAGAGCCCTATCTCGTGCGTGGCAGATAAGATTTGGCGAGCAGGAGGAAGCTGGAAACAAAGAGTACATCCAGCATGGAAATAGGGGTCAGAAAGAGATAAGAAGAGACGCCCAGCTTGGCCTCGCTGTTTGAGCCCATCACCCGTGAGTTAACCTGCGCCAGAACTAGAGAACTCGATTAACTAGAACTCAGAACCGAGCCAACATCAACATCGAGAAACATGTAATGATATTCGGTGGTGACGGAGGCAACGTCACTCACTTCACAGGCAATACCGCCCAGTATTCCGGATACTGGAGTCACTGATCTCAGCTGTGTGAACGGGAGATGCCTGAGGAGTTGAGACTAGCAAAGATCTGTTCTAATAGCGTTGTGACCCAAATATGAGAACGAAGCACTGGGTTGCAACGGTCTACCTGGGAGACATGCACTCGACTTTGCCCTATCGACTCTTTCCTTTTGGCTCGAGGCTAATGTGGCCCCCACTCCTCGGTAGAGGCCAGGATATGTCTGGCCTGGAATAAGAGGACGTAGTCGATGTCTTGCGCGTTTCCATCCTCAATTTCTTACTAGCCTCCCCTTAGTTGATGTTCTGCATCTAGCTATCCCATCCCTGCCTCCCTTGAGGGCAGACTTGGTAAATACTTCGCTAACATCGGTAGCTCCCTAAATTTGAGATTCGTTTTCATGCTGGCTTGCCTCCCTTTCATCATTCAACAAACCGAATGGACATAGAGTATACGTTGAGGATAGGTGGAATCATGCGATGATCCTTGATCAAAAAGGAGACGAAGGCTGTGGTGATTTCCACCTCTTTGGTCTCGGGTCTTTGAGGCAGTTCAGCATTCCCACGGCTTGGAGACGCAGAGTATGAGGGTCCGGACCCGGGGTCATGGTTCAGTCGACAAGTGCGGATAATCAGTGATCTTTAGTGTGGATGGGAGTGTGGGCTGTCATGGACGCCCGCAATCTTTGACCTCAGGGGCGCGGGAAGGGTCAGTCAAGGAAGGAGAAGTGGGGATCCGGTCAAACATGTCTCTGGTTCAATCTCGAAAAGATTCTGATCGTGTCCTAAACGGTCGAGCTGCAGGTGTCCAGGTGCTAACGAACATGGGATAGCCAACCCTTTAGAACATCTTCAGAAGGTCGCGGCCAGGACCTAGTGGTGCAGGGTGCTACCCTCACCTACTTGCGAGTGGACGATGGATGAGGGCTAGACTAGTTCCGACTAGCAGCTCGGCGTGGCTGCGCTACGGGACGTCAAGTCTGGGTGCCATGGCAGTCGCTAGGCAGCGTACCATGCCCACGGGTACCCGTCAGACCTGCATGAGGTGCCAAACACGACTAAATAGATATTTCTCGTGGGATTGTAGGGTCACCAGAAGCGCCCAAATCCCTCGCGAATAGTCCCGTGAATGGTGGAAGAGACATCATCGATGCTAGCCCCCTACTCCTAGCCCCTTCTTCATTGCACCCGAGCTTGTACCCTCCCCTGACAAAGGGCATGCGAAAGAGGGGGAAGGCAGAAGGGAAAACAGAGGAGGCGGGAGAAACACCCCGGCGGGCAAGTTAGTCAAATTTCTTCGCCTTTGGCAGGGGCGCTCTAGATGAGGGGAGAGGTAAAAAGTCGGAGAAGATGGGGGCAGAGAATCAAATGTTAATGGTCAAGAGTCCTGATGGTCAAGAGTGAGGAAGGGGTGGAGGGGATGAGGCGGCCTCTTTAGCTCTCTTCCTTAGCAATCACCAGCACGGAGCTCAAAGGGCACTTGTCCCGTTCAAAGGTAAAGTTTGCTTTTGAGACAGAATACTCCCGAGGCGAGTTCGAGACCGCCCATCTCTTTTCTCGAATCGCATGGCTAGGAGGTTTGCTCACGTTCGAATTCAAGAAAGACGCGATGCTACCCTTGCAGCGTGTCATTTTAACGAAGAACGATCATCGACGAACTCAGCTCGAAGCAGATTGACCGTGGGTATTCAAGTGCAGAGTAGCGTTGCCCTCCCCGCTATACAAAGGCTTGATTCTGGCGAATTATGGGTCCCTGATAATGCTTGAGGCTAATAATGCAATTTCGAAGGTTTTGTTTCGAACCGTCAAGGGGGAGCAAAACCTGAAAATTCGTTCTCCGAAGAGTATACAGGCCACTTACGCTTGCCATAGAACTTACGAAAAGGGGGTCTAGTTGCGAGATGTCACTGATGAAGAAGGGCCACCAGATCGCTACTTCTAAACCTTTATTCTTGTTTTTCTCCGTGAGAACATACACGATAAATCCGAGCGAGGGGATCGATATTAACTGGTGTTCAGGGCCCCCTGCAAGAGTTGCTAAAAGCGTGTGCTTGTCACGAGCTAGACTAGGGGCACTGATACCAAAGAGAAGGAAGAGGGTATTGATGTGCACAAAGCCTGACCAGACTTGGATCTTCAAGTGCTGGTCAACTTTTTGTTCTGTACCCTCAGGCTGGGGGATGGTATGGTACGCAAGGGGCGCGATTGGCGATTGAAAGCGACCACAATCTGCGAGGACTTTTCAAGGACATGGCTAAGCTGCACGGGGCCGTATCCTCATCATGAATGGTTGCCTCCTGGTCTCTCTTTGCTCTTTTCCCTTGTCTTTTCTCCAATGCAGTCCGAGCGCAATAATGGAGACTTTACCTTTTCTGACAGGTAGCTTCAGATCGGAATCACGCTGAAAGGATAGGGTGAAAAGCACACAGGAGGAATGCTAGCTCAAGACGGCCAATCAAGGTGGTAGTAGAAGACCCCGTCCCATCTTATATGCTGTGCCATATGGCTTCAACAAGTTCAATGAATGATCTCTTGCCGAGCAGAAGCTACGGAAGGGTACGTCATCGATGCTGTCTTGGCAGGGAGGAAGAGCAAGAGCCTGAGGAATTGGGGCCTAATCAAAAAGGATGTATGGAAGAGGAAAGGGTAAGGCAAAGGCAAGCGGTCATGAAGTCCGCCCTGAACTACGGATACTACCCTCCATGACGATTTCATTCTTTGCAGCCAGCCCCAGAACACCGGGACCAGGGGGAACTGACGTGCTAGAAGGATTCTGGGGATTTTCACAGTGGAGTGCGACTGCGGGGGACATCCTTGCATTTCTTCCTTTAAACCAAAGAAGAAAAATTACGACGACACTATTTTCCTGGTTGCTACAAGTAGGAACTCGGCCGGTAGTAGTCGACTTGTATTATGATTATTTTTGACAATTTGAGGCGGGCACCCCGGCTCCTTCTCGGCCGCAAAAACTGAGACACGACGGGGCGTAGGAATCTCGGGGCCATGGCACAGAGAGGCCTCTCCTCCTTTTTCCCTCCTTCCTTTCTTCTTCCCCATCGCCGGAGCAAAAATACACGATCCTGGTCGCCTGTCACCGGTGTGGGGTCGTCTTCGCAATGCCTCGCTTTAGGGTCCCTAGGATCGTTGTATCGTGGGGAAGATTCCATTCGTCCACTGACTGTGGGACTGGCGAGGTTGTCGCGGCCGTGGCGGCCATGTGGCTTTTCTCTTTTGTGAGCAGTCACTGCGCATGTGGGAAATAGTCGCCGCCTTGTCTTGCATGTCAAAAAGGCGGAGGGGGACCAGACCCTGTCGAGCTGGAGGAATCCCACTCGAAATCACATAATAACGCTGCTCGAAGCCGATTGCCCAGTTTCTTCCCCGGCTGGCCCGGCCCTTCCTCGCGCGTGCGCCATGACCAACCTCGCGCTGGATTCTGGTTACTTGACCTTTTGTGCTCATTTCATTTTCTCTTCACGACGGGGCTTTGTTTCAGTTCGCTGGCGCCCGTTTGCCTGTTTTCGGGGCGACTCCGAGATGGCCTGGCCTGTGCCGCGCCGGTGAGCGGCGCGCGCCCTAGTACAAGCCCCGATGAATACGAAGCTCGCCGACGAAAAGCTTACCCTGTGCCACGTTTTCTCGGAGACTCGGGATGGAAATACGAAGCAGCCGATGGAAACAAATCGGTCCATTAGCCTGGATGACACATCATCATCACTCGGCCACAGAGGCTGTTCAAGCATCAAGCCACGTTTTCATCGCTGCAATCAGACTTTGTGGCCAATGCGCCTCCTTTCTCCTCGTTTCTCGTCCCTTCTCCTGCTCTCTGCTACTCTCTCCCTGGGCCGAGGTCAGCTCCCTAGCTTTTCTTGCTTTTTCTTTCCGATATCCCTTTTCCTTTTGAGAGCACTTGGCAGCGAGGAGTAAAGGATGATTTGGCTCATGCTAGCATTGAGTATGGCAGCATTAAGCTGGTAGGAATCGGCAGTGGAATAGAAAGCTAGCTCTTGTGCCTAAACTATTTTGGACTTCAATCTCTATTACCTCGCCGTCGGCTCGGCCAAAAAGTCGGGGTGTGCCGAGGCAGTGGAGATGAATGTGGGAATTACGGGCTCAGCACTTCCAAATACAGAAGGTTGTTTCCGTGTGGGGCAAATGCCTTCGATGACGCAGTCGGATGCGCTGGGATTAGTAATATTACTTGTACTCCCTTTTCCCACCTCCCCACATCCTTATCACCTATCTTGATTGATGTGATCAACCCCTTAATAGCGATCGCATCTCAGCAAGTCTAAATCACCTGTAGCAAACCATTGGGCCTTGTTTGCTCTGGTATACAAGAGCGGAAAAACCCCCGCTCATCGATAAAAAACAAACAATCCGGAGAAAACGTTGCGGCATGGAGGCGCCGGTAGTGCTCGCGAGGTTTGCCCCGCCCGATATGCGGGATTCCAGCGACGACTGGACGGGGGTAACGAGCAGAGCGGAGAGGAAGAGAAGGCAAAACCGCCTAAACCAAAGGGCGCACCGTAAGTTTCTGGCTGTCCTTATCTGCAAGTATTTATTATCATTTTTCTTCTTCTTTGGGTAGAAGGATTCGCGGGTGCATAATCAAGCATTCCTTCCCCCTCCCTTTCTACCCGCTACGAGGGAACCGTGTCACAAGGGCGGAAAATCAATAGGAATAATCATTGGTAAAACCCACTGACAATATGCAGGTCGGCGGAAGAATGGCCAGCAAGCGGGGCCGCCCTCCGGAACGGAAACGGAAGAACTCCAGGTCGTACCGTCCCCGGCCTCGACCTGGACGCCGCCGCCGCCGAGTCGAAGTCGCTATCGGTCCCCTTGGCAGTGGCCTTTATGCTGGATGAACTGTCAGCCCAGCACGAAGGTCTGCTCGTGATGACGTGCCCACGGACGGTAGAGAAGATGCGAGGGTTCCTACGCGAGGCCTACCAGGACTTTGTCCTCCACGCGCCCAAGGTGGACCGCCTCCCGTCCATCATCCGGCTCAACCTGATTGACGCCCTCGCGCGCAACGCCATACACATCGGCTTCGACCCGCGCAATATTTGCAGCGAGGAGCTCATCTCCCCGCTCAATATGCTCGGGCCCATGGCGCCCGGGAGTAGCAGTTCCACCGCCGTCGCGCTGCGGTGGCTGGACGACTGCGACGTCAGCGACGTCACCAGCTCCAACGACAGCAACCACGACGACAGCGACGGCGGCGGCAGCGAAGTCGGGTCGAGGGCCTCTGTCGCCTCGCGCCACGTGGCGCGCTGCCCGCCTAATCTGGCGCCCACGGACCTCCAGCGTACCATTACCCACCACCCGTGGCTCGACTTGTTTCCCTTCCCCAGTTCCGCGATAACCTCGTGCGCGAGGTCGACGCCGGGCGCCTCGACGACGACGAGCTGTGCCTCGACATTATCCAGTTCGCCGGCGGGGCGGACGGCCGCGCCCCGCCCTCATCGTCTGGGGCGAGTCGTCAGACTGGCGCAACTGGGAGCTCACGGGGGATTTCTTGAGGAAGTGGGGGTGGTTGGTTAGCGGGTGTCCCGATATGGTGACGGCGACGAATTACTGGAGGCAGAAGAGGGGGAATCGAAAATCATCTTTTGAGAAAGGAAAGAAGAAGAAGAAAGGGAAATAGCTAGGTATTAGCCGTGACAGAATGTCGGGGAGAGAGAGATGCACACCTAATTAGATACGATGGGAGGGAAGTGGAAAGGGTTTGGATGGAGAGGTAACTGGGAAGGATTGGTTTTTTTTTCATGGTGTTTCGATTCATTGGCGCTTGGGGGCCGGCAACACGGGGACGGATGGGATTTCGGTGTTTTTATTCAGATTGATCATTCACCGGGCTTTCCTTTACATGTATCCTCTGTACTGGTAGATATTTGTTTCGATTCTTGTGTCTCGCGATGGCAAGCAGATTGAATAAAATTGAAGTTTGGATTGTCTACTACTAGAATTTGCGCATTCTAAGTGTATGTCGCTACTCAAGCTGTGGTCTTTTGTTGAACTCTCAGCCTGACTTACATGTCCACCGAAATCTCGTTATTCACGTTTTATACGTAGGAACGTCACTATGCGCGGCCTGGTCGGTTTCTTATTTCTTTTCGTCTTTAATCATATCTCATTTCTAACTTTCATCTACAAGAAAACAATGGGAATCATGTCCAACATAACTACATCTATAGACTTTTGTGTTCTCTTTGGACCCCAAAAATTCAGCTCAAACGCTACCTGCCTCTCACCACACTGTTGATGCACCGCCCATATACACGCCTCCCCTACTTTACCCTCCTCTTACAGGTTCGACTTGCTCGCGTGCTTCTCGTTCACGAGCACGTACCTGTACCTCGCCTTACCAGCCTCCATATCGATGACGGCCTGGTTAGCCTCCTTGAGCGGCCTGAGCTCAACCCAGGGCTTGACCTGCTTCTCGGCGGCGAAGTCGAGCATCTCCTGGATCTCTTGGGGCGAGCCGATGAGGCTACCGCCGACCTTGATACCGCTGCCGATGAGGGTAAAGGCGTTGATGGGGGCAGGTTGCCGCCGTCGGGTGCGCCGACCTGGATAAAAGTGCCGCCGACCCTGAGGAGCTTGAGGTAGTCCTGGAGGGGCATGTCGCCGCTGGAGACGGTGCAGATGATGAGGTCGAGGGTGCGCTTGTTGGTCTTGGCCCAGTCCTTGTCGTCGGCGGTGGCGATGTAGGCGTCGGCACCGAGCTGGAGGACCTCGTCCTTCTTCGAGGCGCGGCGCGAGATGCCGACGACCTTGTCGGCGCCGAGGGCCTTGGCGAAGAGCACGCCAAAGTGGCCGAGACCACCTACGCCGACGATGCCGACGTTCTTGCCGGGACCGCAGCCGTTTTGCTTTAGGGGAGAAGACGGTGATGCCGCCGCAGAGCATAGGGGCGGCGTGCTCGGAGGGGAGAGATTCGGGGATCTTGAGGACGAAGTGGCCGTTGGTCCTGTTGTAGTCGGCGTATCCGCCGTAGGACTTGCCCTCGCCGTCGGGGTACACGGAGCCGTAGGTGTTGACGGCGCCGCGCGAGCAGTAGTTCCACTTGCCGATGCCGCACTCGGGGCAGTCTGACTTCATGCAGGAGCGGCCCTGCGCGCCGACGCCGACGCGGTCGCCGACCTTGATGTGAGAGATGTTCTTTCCGACACGTACGGCCTTGCCGACGATCTCGTGGCCGACACAGCAAGCTGTCGAAAGGTTAGCCTTTTGCTTCTTGTTTGAGTCCTCCTGGCCCCGCGGGGCTTCCGGAAGGGAAAAGACGAAAAGGGAAGACAAATAACTTACGATAGGGAGTGGCGCCCCAGCCGGAGCGAAGGGTGTGCAGATCAGAACCGCAGATACCGCAGTGAGTGACCTGGATGTCGACGTCATCTTCGGTCCACTTCTTGGGCTCGTACTCGGCCCATTCCATCTTGCCGTTGATGGCCTCGGGAGTGCGGCCCAGCCAGCCCTCGAACTTGTAGTCGGTCATATTGTGATTAGGGGGAAGAAGAGGGATTTTTCTGTTGGTAGGCAAGCTGATGGATGTGGATGGAGACGGAAGGGAGTGGAAACAGGGTCGGGCCTTTGGTACGCAAGACTCGTCAATATCTGAATGACAGGAGTGATGTAGTTCCTAGATTCAAATTGGAAGAGTAGATGGAGCGGCCACGGGCCTTATGTAGTTTTATGAGAACATCGTCTGTCCTTGGCATGTCCCCATTTCTAAGCACGCCTGCTAACTTTTCCCATCGACGGCAAGACCGCCCCCACCGTGCCTCGCTCGCCTCGCCGCGCAGAGTGACGACCCTGCTTCACTAGCGCCACGCTCGCTGTCTTTGCTTTCCTTGAATGGCGTCTGAGATTTTCTTGCCGCGAAAGCTAGGAAGAGGGAGGGGGCGGGGTGGGTCAAGCAAAAAAAAAAGCATTTCCTCGATTGGGAGGATTCGAAGGTTGACGAAACAAAAGGTAGCGAGACAAGGGAGAGGAAGAGAGGGGTCTGTGGCAATCCCAAGGGTCCAAAGTGGAGTGGGAAACCCTCGACCTCGGCACCTATCCTATTCTTTTTCTGGCGGGTTTTAGTATGCTTTGGGTTAGATCCCGATGATTAATGAAGAAACGTGGTGGCTCTTGTTGGCGTTGCAGCGCATCGCATGCGATGGCTCGTCCAAAAGGTTGCCCTGGAAATCGGTTGTAAATGGTTAGCCGGAACGGATAGACGCCCGGAGGAACGCCCATGGTGATAGCGATTAGCTTTCGGAGTATCTCGCAAATTGTACCGAACGCCAGCGCCAGCCTCCCCTCTTTCGAGTTCGTGATGCAACAAGTGGGCCAAACTTGAAGATGGCGGGATGACGATGTGGCAAGGGAGAGAGGGGTTCAATGTTGGAAAATTGATGATTAGCAAGCAAAGCAAAATTAGTCTCAACCCCACTCTTCTTATCTCCAGCCCAGCTTCATTGCAGACATATTAGTCCGAATCAAAGGTCCGTTTCCGAGGAGAGAGCATGATAATGCAAAGATCCATACAAGAGAAGGAACTAGAAGTAGAGGAGAGGGGAAGCAAAAAGGCTCCATACTTTTTTGTCGAGCATGAGCTGAACATCCTCTGCCAAGCCCTCTCGGACGTTGAGCTTTCTTGAGCAAAGCTGCCAACGTCGCATCGCAGTGCTGCTACCACGCCCGCCGAGGAACAGCTAGAACGCCTTAGAAGCAAGCACAAAGAGAAGCGACGAATCTACTGGGTCCTCTTTGACGAATTAGGCAAAAACTTTAATCACTCAAGAGACAGCTCTCCCGAGCAAGTGAAGGCTAAGCACTTGGTTGAAAGGGTTTGGTGAGCCGGAGCCCTTCCTTTTCTCGGCCCGGGCATTACCTTGCGTAAACTCCGGTCAGCCGGGTGCATTAGCGTCTTTTCTTCCGAGTTGAAACGCTGTGCGTTCCTGCTGGGATTAAGCATGGGCCCCGTTGTCTCCATTAGGACGGAGCCGTAGTGGATTCGTGCTCGCCGGCCCTACTACTCCGTACTTTTGTTGATTTGTAAGTTGTCACCGTGTGTTTCCCATCAACACGAACTCGTGCTAGGGCTGCAGGGCTAGGTTGCTATCTCACACGCTTCGTCACCGATGCTCGAGTGGGGAGCATGGTTGTGCCGTTGCGCGGGATGGCGCTCAGCCCCCCGGTAACCTGTCAGACGCTTAAATCGCGGGACTGTTAGCGAGCCTGCATATGTGGATCGAGCTCACAATTCAACAGACACAATCGGGTTTAGGGCCCGGAGATCACTGAATTAAGGCCGTCTGCCGATGAAAGAAGAATTCGCGGATCCTTCGAGCCTTAAAAATCATACATTAAGTCCGTTTCGGCCGCCTCCATCTCGATCCACTAGCCACGACTCCCGTGTTCACGCTAAAGGTTGCGTCAAGTCCGTTGCTATCATTCTTCTTGTTCTTCGTGAAGCTATTGTCGATGTTGAGGCATATCGGTAGTGGAAGGACGCGCTACGGCGAAGCACAGCATCCAATATTGCGCCCTCTTTGCTGCCTAGATGAGAAGTGGGATGAGGAGGCAGTCTCCAAGTGGACTGAAGTCCGCTGGACCGTTTTGATCGATCCCCTTTCCGTATCCGGAGATAGGATAATGGCGTGAGGTCTTACCAATCGTCTTGCAACCATCATGCTCCGAGTGAAGATGGTCCTAACACCGGCAAAAGTCTAGCTTTAATGAGTTATCAGAGAGTTCTCTCGGAGTTGAGTCAACGACTAGGCCTTCTTAGGGGCCAGGGAAGTCGTGATGATATTAGTACGACCATCTCAGAATGTGATCGATCATGGGGCGATGACTAGTCACACCAGGGTATATCTCTGGTGCTACCTTCTATCACCTCTGCCGTCCCCTCGACCGCTCACAGTCACTCTCCTCTCGCTGTGTTCAAACTGCTCCCTTGTTACCGCACCTACTCAGGATTATGAGCTTCTCTTTCCATCCTCAGTGTGCGAACGCATCCGGGGATAGGAGAACCCAAATCCTATCGCTAGAAACCGTCTACTCTCGGGACTGGAACTCATGAGCTGTTTGACAGTATTCACCCTCACCCGTTTTGTATCGCAGCTCGCCTTCTGTAGCACCGCAACCTCGTCCGATTGTCCGCTCTACGTTGGTAATGAGACGACCGCTAGGCTTTGTTGACTCCCATTCTCTAGGCGCACCCAAGAAGTGCCAGCAACGAAGAGTGCGATGAATATTAGTGAGCGATGGAACCTACAGTGTGTTATCAGCCATTCCCATAGCGCGTAAGATGTTGGTGTTCAAGTCTTCTTGAAGACGGCAGACATGGACATGGACGAGGTTGCGATGCTTTATGTGAGCTCGAACCCACTTTGGCAAAAGAAAGGAAGTTAGGGCTTTTCTCTTCTCAGGGCGCACCTTCCTCCCCTTTGTTTCCGCTTTCCTGTTGTTAAGATCTTTTACTATTCCTTTTTTCTTCGAACTTCCTCATTCAATGTTCTCCTCCGTGAAAGAGTCGAGAGGCAATTTCAGCAATGGCCTCTCGGGGAGTAGCTCTCTCCCAGCCATCGAGTCGTTGACTCATAGTGCTGAAGGATTACGCGAGGTTGCCTCATGCCCCCATCAAACCAATATCACAAAGTCTGGCTCGAGCTTGGCGTGCTTCGGGGTGCGCATACCGCCGGGCGTTTCTCAATCGTCCTTCTTCAGGAGTCCACGGCATTGAACCTGTGGAAGAGTGCATTCGGCGACGGTGAATCAAGGGATGCATGGTATTTCTGCCATGACCTCGAGTCGGATAATCAATTGTCCTTTCTCCTTGGCTGCCTAGCCTGAGGTCGAAAAGCCCCATCTTCAATGACTCACAGAAAGCTCCTACGTGACGTTGCGGGATCAAATGCAGCTCCGTTACCCCTCTCCTCCCACATGGGTAATACATCTGGGGTCGAGAACCCCTCTCGACCCCATAGGGCTGGGACTCGTCCAGGGTTGAAGTGCTTTTGTTGGTCAATCTTGGCGCTGGAGCGCGCCGTATTTCGTATCTTTTTTTAGGGTCCAATTGTCCTATTGTCCGGGTGGCGCACCGTGTAACATGGCGAAGTGGGATTATCGAGTCTAATTGAATCGATCATCCAACCCGAATGGGGAGTTCCAAAGCCGGTGAAAGAAGAGGCCATTACTCTATGAATGTCTAGACTCGTTTTGGTGATCTGTCTGCACATCACCTTGCCGCCAAGCGGGGAGACTGTGGCCTGTGGCGTTGGGAATATATAGAGCGTCATGTTCCAACACAAACGAGGAATCGAATTATTCCATTCTTCTTGTGCTACCTGTATTCGGAGTGATTGTATCTTGATTCTTTCTATAACCTGATCTTGTTTAGCCATTTCACCTTTCTTGCGTATCGAATCCCTCCCTTTTCATTTCCTGTATAATAAACCCGGCGCACAATGAAGGCTCAGCTCGACGCCATCCTCCAGGACCATATCGCTAATGGCGAAGACACCAAAGGCAAGCTCCTAGGAGCTACCTTTGCGGTTGTCACAAAGGACGACGTCCTATACCTCGGTTCGGCAGGGCGCACCAGCCCAGACCTCTCTTCGCCAGCCTGGACCGATAGGTCTTTCACGTGGATCGCATCCATGTCCAAGATCATCACGATCGCGGCCATGCTGCAGCTCGTCGAGCGGGGCCTCATCTCCCTTGATACCGACTGCAGACCTCTCGTCAAGGAATTGGCGGAGGCACAAATCATCGATGGCTTTGATGGCGATACGCCAAAGCTAAGGCCGAACACGAGCCCCATGACCTTGAAGTAAGTCGTATCGTGAGGTGCTGTTCGCATAGAGGGATTCCCGTAGGAGCTATAAACCGAAAGCCTTGCTATATCTAGGGGCTATGTATGGACAACATCGAACCAGCAGAAGAGGAAAAAAACTACTGTCTATATCTATGGTATAAATTCACGGGTTGGGACATATCACTAATGCTGCCCAGGCACCTGTTAACCCACACTGCCGGATTCGGAGTTGATATCGCCGACCCGGACCTCATCAAGTGGAGCCAGGTCACCGGCCGCAAGGTCAACTGCCACGACTGGTCCAAGGCCGGGTTCGACGTGCCCCTCAAATTCGCCCCCGGCGAAGGGTGGTACTACGGCTTCAGCACCGACTGGGCGGGCCAGGTCCTCGAGGCCGTCACCGGCAAGCGCCTGAGCGAGTACCTCCAGGAAAACGTCTTCGACCCGCTAGGCATGACGGAATCCGGCTTCTGGCCGCGCAAGATGACCCAGATAAGCGAGGAGCAGCGGGCCGCCTACCTGTACCGGCAGGAGGACGGCACGCTCAAGGCGGGGCTGCCCGAGTTCAACGAGGAGGCGCACGAGATTGAGAGCGCGGGCGCGGGCATCTTCACCACGGGCAGGGACTACGCCGCGTTCCTCGGCGCTTTGATGGCCGGCAGGGTGGTTAAGAAGGAGACGCTCGACGTGATGCTGACGCCGCAGATCAACGAGTCCCAGGAGTACGTTTTGAACTTGATCGCCAACATGGTTAAGGATGCGTTTGCGCCCGAGTTCCCGGCGGAGCCGAAGCTCACGCACGGCATCGGCGGCGTGATCAACGTGGATGATATTCCCGAGAAGCGTAACAAGGGAAGTTTGGCGTGGAGCGGAGCCGCGAATTCGAGATGGGTGAGTTGTCAACCGAAATCTTTTTTTTTTTTAACAACGCCTGGTGGTGGTCGCCGTTTCCATTTGTGTGAGAACTGCGAGTGCTGACTGAGAATCATTGTGACCCTCGCGGTATAGTGGCTGGATCCCAAGGCAGGCATTGCCGCCATGATCATCACTAACGTTCAACCTCACGGTGATTCTGTTATGACTAGTCTGTGGGATAAGCTCGAGAAGGCCGTTTACCAGAACCTTCGATCGTCAAGTACTTGAATGGATGTCGAGAAGCGTGAAGGTTGAGAGAGGAAAACTAGTGTGCGTAATGTAGATGTTCTGGGCACCCGCTGACATCTCCACTCGACGGAGGTGGCGTATCTCTCTGAACTATAGCGGGGCGGAGAAAATGAGAAGAAGAAGAAAAAAGTAAACTGGAAGCTAGGAGTACTGCCTGGTTTCGCTCATTGGGCTTCTTTATTCGGGCCCCATGATAGAAATGAAGCGATCATCCTCGGTAGACTCCTGAATCGAGTCCATGACATTATGAAGCACGGAGCGGCACTGATTTCTGAAATTCAGTGCAAGCAACTGATTCTGCGAAAGCTCTTCATCTTCCGAGGGCATCGGCTCGTTTTCGTCGAGCTTATCCAGTTCCTGGAGCGCTTTTTGCTGGACGGTGGCGAGTATGATTTGTAGCACGGCTGCCTTGTCCCGGGAGAGGTCCGCGACGAGGACTTTGCGCAAATAATCCTCCGTGGTGGGGATTTCAGGGTCTCTAAAGGCCGCGTTGTTGTTCAAGATCTGCTCCAAGATATCCAAGACCATGGAGGCTTGGATGTGCCTAAACGCCGGAAACAGTCTCGGCCCAAGATCACGGTACGCATGCTGCGAGACTCCGCCGACGTAAGAGCGGGGGTCCATCATGGGCCTCAGGGAAAACAGGTACTCGGGCGCCGGGGGCAAAGGCCCAGCCGCGCTCGGGTCGTGGACGACGCGCTTGCGGACGTGGACGTAGTCGTTTTGCAGGGTCGGCGTCTCTTCGAGCGTGAAGCCGTACGCGAGGAGAAGCTTCGCGTTGGTCTTGACGCCGTAGTTGTTAAAGACTTGGCAGCCAGAAGTGTACGGCTTCACGTTGAACGTGAGGAGCTCGCAGGACTGCGCCTCGCGGTCCGTCTTCCACGAGGTGAGCGCCGTCATGTCGTGGTTGCCGATATCGAAGAGCGGGAGAAGGATGGAGAAGCTATCCCAGTCGATACCCGTGGCGTGGTCCTTTGCGGTGATGTCGGGCACGACAAGCGTGGGCATGAAACTCCGGCTGGTGTAGATGGCATACGCCCAGTGGTATAAGTCGGGCGTGTACTCGTCCGCGCCCGGCCAGCCGGCCAAGAGCTTGGTAGCTTCCTCGTACTCGGCGCCGAGCGTCGTTCTTATCTCGTGGATGGACACCTCCAGATTCGTCCCGTTGAGATAGGCTGCGTCCGCCTCGGGCCAAAAGGGTGGAATGAGCCATTCGGACGGGAGGTCCGGCTGCGGCAGGGCCTGGATGTACGGCCACCAGAAGGAGTCCCTGCCGAGAAGGTACTGTTTGACGAGGAAGAAGCGCCCGATAACGTGCGGTGGTGCGCCGGAGAGGAACTCGGAAGGGAACCTTGCTTCTTCCGGCTCTTGGCGGAAGCCCGGCGGCGGATTGGAGAGGGCGTTGAGGTAGGACAAGGTGATGGGCATAGGGCATGTAACCACGGTTTCGCCGCTGCTCACTTGGAGGCCCGGGGGTTCCGCTTTGACCGTGAACCCGGCACCCGTGGCTGGGTCCTGAGAGATTTCAATATTGGGGTGGAGTTGAGCTCCATTTGTGGTGGCCCAGCTGAGGAGGGTTTGGAAGCGACCCTCTTGGGAGGTTTGTTCTGCCATCTGAGGTCTCGAGAGAATTGTGTATTTTTTTTGTATTTTTTACTCTCCCTTTTAGACGCACAGATCACCTTGAAAGAGGGGAACAGAATAAAAAGACAAAAGATCAACTCGCTAGCTCTCAGCCCTCTTCTTTTCTGTGCGCGCTTCTCGATGCTCGCTCAGCAACATTGAAATGCATATGTTAGTGGGGTTGCCCAGGATTTGGAGGGGCATGATCGGCAGAATATCGGCAGAACCATTAGCCAAGCCTGGGCACAAGGGGAAAAGGGCCATTCAGTCCTTGGCGAGTGCTCGCTGCTGCTTGGCGAGGTGCCGTCGCCAGAACCTGCAGGCAGCTGAATTTCCAAAAACCCCACCATCGTCATCGCCACCTCTGCCCCCTTCGTTCCCAACCTTCAGCCATCCACTCTCGCCCGACCTCGCTTGCAAGCCCTTTCTTCACAACAACCCTCGCATCTACAAGGATCGGCCTTTCGCTCTGCACTTGGTCGGCTCGCAAGCATTGGCAAAGACTCTTGGAAACGACACCTACGTCTTCATTTACCCCTCCCCCAACGGTCCATCTTCTTGCCTTGCCCCAGATCCATCACCCTCCCCCCTCTAGTTTCCGACATTAAACAGCAACGACACCCTTTCCTCTCTCTCTCCGCCCTCCCTAAGCAGCCATGAACCGCTTTTCGGCGCCGCCCCCAAGGGCACCAAACCCACCCTCAACTCCGCCATCTCCAACATCGACGACCGCATCGCCTCCATCGACGTCAAGCTCGCCTCCATCAACGCCGAGCTCACCACCTACTCGTCCAAGCTCGCCAAGATGCGCGACGGGCCCGGCAAGTCCGCCCTCAAGCAAAAAGCCGCCAAGGTCCTCCAGCGCCGCCGCATGTACGAGTCCCAGCGCGACCAGCTCCAGGGCCAGGTCTGGAACATGGAGCAAGCCCAGACCATGCAGGACAACCTCAAAAACGTCATGACCACCGTCGACGCCCTCAAGACTACCAACAAGGAGCTCAAGCGCCAGTACGGCAAGGTCGATATCGATCGCATAGAGCGCCTCCAGGACGAGATGGCGGATCTGCTCGACGTCGGCAACGAGATCCAGGACAGCTTGGCGAGGAACTACGACATACCCGAGGACGTGGACGAGTCCGAGCTCGATGCCGAGCTCGAGGCCCTCGGCATGGAGATTGAGATGGAGAGGGAGTCGGAGATGGGCGCCATGCCTTCTTTTATGCAGGATGAGATGCCCGAGTTCATCGATGAGCCTCCTCTTATGGAGGGCAAGGTCAAAGAAGCGGCGGGATAAATCGAATAAAGCGTTCTTGCTTCATTTTATCTTGTTTTGCTTTTGTTTTTCTTGGAGGGACTCGTAGCATCATCGTCGTGGCGTTTTCTGGGCGTTTCTCATGTACTTCATCCCCCTCTCCCTTCTTAGCCTCTCTAAGCCATCCTCCTACCTTGGAGCTCGTATTTTGCTTCTTAATTCATATATACCTTGGCTTATCTTGGAAAGCTCCTTCCGGTTACGCATCGTCTACATCCTGTATTCACTTAGGCTCTGTTCCGTTTTCACTTAATTGACTCGGGAGACTCGCGCTTCTGTCTCGTTTCGCATCGTCATCATTCTTCGCACTGCATGCTCATTGTCTGGTGAAGTCACCTAGTTATACACAACGCGGCCGCAATATTTCGGCCAAGGAAAAGCGTCAGGGAATACAAAAAAAAGTATTATCAAATCAATAATCAGTACCAATACAAGGCTGTGCCATGAGTCTCTCTAAATCCTATGCCACCATGGCGTTCTAGGCTTCTTGATTCCTAAAGCTAAATCATTCGCATCCGTACAGTTGAGTGTATGTTCGGCAAGGCTGACGAACTGACCAGGATGCCTCGCTATTATGGTAAAAATGATCAAGTGAAGCCCGATCTCCACCAAGACGTTGGGCCCCTCAGCCAACCGGGCGTGCTGCTGATATGTCCCCCATACAACTCGCTAGATGCACTTGGTCGAGGGCCGCGACGACATCGTTCCTGTAGGTTTCCGGTCGCGAGAAAAGCGGGGCTACCGGAAAGGTGGGAAAGCCGGGCCTCCTTTATTGTCGCCTTCTTCTCTTGATATTGTCGAGAAAGGGCTGTATAGGAGAAGGCTAAATAAAGGGAAAAAGAAAAAAGGGAAGACATCGTTACTATGTGGGGAAAGAAAACTGGGGCGTCCTAGAAGGACTACTCGATCGGCGCGAAGAATCTCGACACCGCTTCCAGCTCTGCGTCTCCATTGCAAAAGTCCCACCCGACAATCACACTCGTTTGGCTACAACAAATGATCCTTCGAGCGTCAAACTGGAGTTTAAATACCCTCGCCGGCGTCCCGTCCGCCATGTGCTGGTGGTGCGGCTGTGGCGGGTGTGCGGCCGCGGGTATGTGGTGATGGGCTGCAAAAGCAGCCGCCGCGCCGGTGGCGGCATGGTGTGCCGTTGGGTGAGGGGCATGCGGGGGCGCCGGGTGATTTCCGTGTGGCGCGGCATGTGCCGCCGCATGAGTAGCGGCCGCGGCCGCGGCCGAGTTGGAGACCTGTGCGGCGGTCGCCTGCCTGCCTGCTGTATGGGCGGCGGCGGGGCCAGGTATCGGCATAGGCGCGGTCGCGGTCGCGGTCGCGGTCGCGGCCGCAGCCGCTGAGGCAGAAAGTCCGGCGTTGGAAGAAGGCTGTGGGGAGCAAGAGCGGCTTGCTGGTGTTGCGCGGATGATGCTTGGGGAGCTAAATTGGGCAAGGCTGGTGGCGCCGCCCCCACAGCGCCTTGAGCTTGCTGCGCGTGTGCCGCGTTAGCCCTAGCACGCTCTCGCGACCGTTCCACGGCGTTGGCAAGTGTTTGGCGAAGCTGATTGCGCGCATATGGCGACGTCACCCTATCGATCGCCCCTTGTATCTGGCTATGATGAAGGAGCATGCCGGGGTATGCGAGGAGCGCCGTCTCAAGTTCGTTGCGGCCACCCGCAACCGCGGCGTTGATCATGGGCTGATAAGAATCCGCTACTCCCTGGGAGTTGAAGGGCGGTATATTGGTGGGGCCTTGATTGTTTGGCGGCTGGGCCGTAGGTGGGGGCGGGGGTGGAGGGGGCCCGGCGTTCTGCTGGGCTGGAGGGCGGACCGAAGGGTGAAGAGTAACGGGAGGGGTAGCCAGCGAAGGCGCCGGCGGGCGTTGGGCGGCGACGGCCGCCTTCTCTTGATGGAGATGATGAGCATCTTTCCAGACACCCTCCTTGTCCCGCCTCCATATGATGATGCTCTGGTCGTACGAGCCCGACACGATACGAGCGTACCTCCCACCACCGCCGCCGGGTGGGAGGTTGGCACCGTAGGCCGTGATGTGCTCTGGTCGCGAACTACCCGCGTTTCCGCGCCGCCTCGAATGACTGCGCATGGGCATAGACTGCGTCACGGTACCGTTTTCCAGCGCCTTGAAGTACTCTTCATCGATGAGTCTTGCTGCTTCACGGTCCTCCTCTTCACTATTTGGGAGGTCGCCGAACCCGGCCTGCACCGTCCTCACCAAATGCGTGTGCGCACGAAGGCTTGCTACCTCTAGTCCGGTAGAGCTATCAAATACTTTAACTTCATTGTCGCTGCTCCCGCTGACTATGCGCCTGCCGTCGTACTGGACGCAGGCAATGCCCTTGAGATGGCCAAGGATGGTTCGGATGCACTTTTGCTTTGGCCAGTCCCAGACCTTGATCGCTTTGTCGCCGCTGGCAGAGACGACCTCGTCGCCGCATATTTGAACGGCGTTCACGGCAGCGTTGTGGCCCTGTAGCGCCCCAATCAATGTATATGCCGGTATGGTCGGGAGTTCGTCGGCCAAGTTAGGCTCGTATCCGTAACCCTTCAGCTTAACCGGCACGGGATTGACAAACTCATTCTGGGGATAGCCAACATCGCCGTACCGAAGCGCTCGACGGTTGAATATCTTGATCGTTTTGTCCTTTGAACACGTCACAAGAATTCGCTTGTCGAACTTGACATTTAGTACGGATTCGCGGTGTGCTTTTGGAGCCTTTGAATAAGCTGGCCTGTTGAAAATTTCCAAAGAATCACGTCCGAGTCGCTGCTGCCCGACACGATGAGGTCCTCTTCCGGATCCGCATCGAATTGCAGACACAACACGGAGCCGGAGTGTGCAACAAGAGGCGGCAGGACTAACCGGTGGGTCTGCATGTTCCAGATGCGCAACGTTCGATCTCGGCTCCCGCTCACCAGGTATTCGGGCGTGTATTGAAGGCTGTAGATACACTCCTTGTGACCTTCCTCGGGATAGTCGGGATGCGGGAACTGGAAGTTTGTGTAGCGGCCGAGCTCCCAGTTGGATTCAAGACGCCGTCGCATGGAATAGAGAGACTTCCAGTTGATGACGTACTTGTCGTCTCGCGGTTCCCAGTTCCAGAGCGTGGATGGCATTAGACCATTAACGTGTTGAGGCGGAAGCTTCTCTAGAAAACGGGCGGTGTTTGCATCGTCCTCTGACGCCGTCTTAGGGCCTTGCGGGCTTGCATGGTCTCCGCTGAGCATCTCGGCAGACTTACCCCTTGCGGAATTACCCATCTCTACGTCGCTAGATTCAGGTGTAACACGGTCAAACGTCATCGCAACCGAACCTGGAAGCGATGCAGTTGACCACGAGGGGGCGTTGAGAATCGAATTCATGAATGCGTTTTCATACTGCCGCTGCGTCCTGTCCGCGTCGAGCATCTCGCAATCGGCATCATCCTCTGAAATTGCCCGCTTTCTATTCACTGGCTTGGTTTCATGAGGGTGGAGGCTGCCTCACGCTGGGCGACAGCGGCCGCGCGCTCAGCTATGGCCCGTTTATTGACTCTGTCCTGCCACTTTTGGATCTCGGCGGGCACAACAGACCAGCCTTCCATATGGTACAGCCGACGCCAGAGTTTCTTGTCGAGAGCGAGCGCGTGCCATGTTCGGCAGGATCGCGCGACATTTATGAGAGACGTGGGATCGAGAAACTCGAGGATCTTAAGGCATACTTCGGGAGGCAAATAATGAACAAAATCGATATAAAGTCGGGGATTGAGAGCCTCCACTATTTCTGCAATGGCTGACGTGGGCAAGGCATCAAGAACCGCCTGCGCAATCTCTGTCAAGGGTTCGAGTTAGCAAAAGGGCACTCTCCTCCGTCGCGTTTCGAACTAAGACCGTCAAGGGCCCCGTCGCCCACTTACTCTTCTTGATGGCAAGTGGCATGCCAGGGAGCTGTCTTGCGAGCCAGTCAGGCATATCTGCAGGACTTCCCGGTCCGGGAATAGCCATATTATGTGCCGACAAAGTGGGATTAAGAGGATCTTCAGAGTAACCCTCGTCGGGCTGCTGGACTGGAAAGTTGTCCATAACGAGTCGCAGCACGTGTGGTGCACCTTTGGGTGGATTGGCACCTATGTCTAGGCCAGCTAAGTGGTCGAGTCGAAAACTTCGTGGGCTTTAGGATGGTAGCGAGGCCTTCATTGAGAGCCTAAAAGAGTATATGGTTTGGTCAATGATCATCACAACCCCGATTTTTTTGTTCAGCTGGGGAGGCAAGCGCTGGGCGCCGCTCGGGGTTTCGCTTGTGGGGGCCGAAGGAAAGAAAGAGGTTTTGCATCCGGCACGAAGGTGATATGAGGGCACGGCTAAGAAGAATAAGCTGAGCTTTGCCAATGCTATGCGTGACTTCAACGATTGCGCCCTCGTCGTAGAACGCGCCACAAATGAATGCTCATCACTCTTTGTTCGCTCATTGGAGTTGTTGGAGATCTTTGGGGGCATTGTTGCTGCCTCGCCTGACAAATGACTAATCAAGGCTGCTTTGGGGGTGGAGGCAGGCTGAAATAAGGTTTTTGGTGTTTGCTTCCCCGCCTCGCCTTCCCCGTAAAGTGTCTGGGAAGGGGCGGTCGGGCTGCAGCGACTGATCAATCTCTGTCCGTCTCTGGTTCCGGGTCTAATATCATGTTTCTTTACGTTTTTGCTACGATTGCCAATGGGCCGCAATGAGGTGGATGGAAGGTTTTGTGTCCAGCTTGCGTGCCTCTGTGGTGGAAGCTTCACTTTTGGAGTGAAGCCAGTCACGATCAGGTTCCCACATATGACTCCACTCTATTTGCCCTTCAGAAGAGCTTGCGTCAAGGGTTGAGTAAATTCCTGAGTTGCCGGAACGAACATGTCCAACATGTAGGTGAAGTGGGAACCGCTTGGAGGTAGTCAGTGAACATTGCAGTCGTGGCATCCGAGGACCGACCTGGCCTTTCTCCAATTTGGCCCCTTAGCAATGGCTGGCCGTAGCCTCCAGTAGAGCTTACTGAGACGTGGGAGGTTGATTCAGGACTGCCTTCTTTCCAATACAAAACCTAAAAATTTCAACTCCTTGGATGACTCCCTTGGGTTCGTGGACCATTAGTTCTATCCTTTGGATTGGAGATATCCTCGCTCCAAGCACTGATATCCAGTTGATTATTATCTGGCTGCTTGCCTCATTCAGTTGGGAGACGAGGGGAAATTAGTGTTTCCCTTGCACGGGAAACGGGCCCCCGTAACTTGCATGAATCGACTGTTTCAATCGTCAAATTAGCCGCCCCTCGGACCCTGGCACTGTGGCACGGAGGGAAAAGGGGACCCTTGAGCGTCTCTCGACAGGTCGAGGAGGGACTTTGAAGTGAAAAGCGAAATCCAATGTACCAGTACAAATAATGCTTACGTCCAGCTCATCATGTCCACTGTGCAGTTCCTGAAGAAAACGCTGGATTTCAATTGTATACCGAGGTAGTGTAGTGTGTCTAGCGTTCACCATATCTCTCATTGAGTTCGAGCCCTGAGCCTGCCACGTTGCTCTTGTATCTGCCAGCGAACTGATGGATCGACGCGCACGTCCACGCTCTCAATACTTGTCCATCATGTTCACTGCAAGACGCGCGAGGGCGCTGCTGCCATCCTCCCGGGTCTTCCTTGTCACTGGCCACTGGGGGCCATTTTGGGGTATGAATCGCCCGGGAAGGTACCTCGGTACCTCCGACCAAGAACTATATGCGCCCGTGGGAAGGCGACGGCTAACGAGCCATCGATGCACCGAAGCCTCAAAGAACATTCCCTTGGAGGTCCAACAGCTCCATTTTCGGGTTTTCAGGGTTGGATTCACCTCCCTCCCGCCTTGCCGCTTTTGGCACCGGCGGATGTCGCTCGAGGAGCTCGCATGAGAAAAGAGTCAGAGAGTGCGGAAGTGAAATGCTAGTTCCAGATATCTTTATTCAATGATGGGAAATAGTGCCCCGTTGCTTTTGCAGCTGACTCACTCCTCCTTGTTTGTTCCGTCTTGGTGGTGATGGGAATGAATCCTTTGGCAAACCAGCACATATCCTCTCTTTCCTTTCAAGGTTTTGTGGAGAGACTCTTTTTCCCTTCGTTTCCTAATCACCGTGTCGGCTTTTCTGGGAATCCGCGATGGGGGCCTCGTAAATGATATTCTATGGGAGGAACCTGAGATTGAAACTGGGCATCAAGCTGTTTGTGGTTGAACTCGTATTATTCACTCTTCCCTTCACCAAAGAGGCTCTCTCGCATGGCGCATTGCGAGCTCGAAGGGCGGTGACGGACCATTGAAGGAAACGAGATAAGCTAGCCCGCCCCATGCCTGTTGTATGCCGGACAAGGGAGATAGTGCCTAGAAGTAAAAGAAGAAAAAGGAAAGAAAGAAAAACTGCATGGAAAGGGGTGGTGGACCTTGCAGGCCTTTGATTGCCTCGCCCGCAGCGCTCAAGGTCGCACACTCGTTTCCATGACTCCTCCATACCTTGCAGAAACCCATGAGACGACAACAGGGTGGATAGCCCGGATAATTATCGCGGGACTCTTTAAGGAAAACAAAGACCCTAGAAACCACATGCAGCCGGCAATTCATAATACAAATACTTTTTCCCCTCGGGCGAAGAAGACCGGGCTGAAGATGAGCTATCACGTAGAATCGGCACTATGATATCAGGAGAGCGTGCCGCAATATGCCGTGCCTTTTCGTGCCCTGTCCGGCTCTTTAGGAATGTGTAACCTGAGGAGAATCAAAGTGTCCTTGGGTTTTACCCACGTCGCGGCGTTACAAGAACTTCCACCGGGTGGATGTGACGTCTGGCTGGCTTCAAAGAAAAAGGCTGATTCTCTTCCTTTACTCGAAAGGGAAAGTAATGTTAATTGAAGACACCCCTGCTCTTCTAATCTCAGCAGCTCGACAAAGGGAACAAGGGAGTGACATGATGATCGTCATGGCTGGATCCGTCTCATGGGGAATTTTGACCCCATTCCGGTTTAGCGTCGCTGCTCGCTGATTTTGAAACAGACAGCGTCCCTTTCCGTCAATGCCAGGAGAAGGGAAGCTTCTGCCATGATACCACGCGCCCAAGGGAAAGCATGATCTTGGAAGGAGTTCTGCTTCTTTTTCTTTTTCTTTTTCTCCTTCTAGCGTAAATACACATGGCATGAGGACGGAGTGCCCTGATGGAGACGAAGCGAAGGGATAATGCGATAGGCAGATTGCGAGTAGGTTTGACTTCATCGTTGCTTCGATTCGGCTTCTGGCCTGGTACCAAAACGCCACCAGGGTGAACTCTGATCCCACACGACAGTGGGCATACCTCCACGGCGTGGGCCACGTCCTCGTGGGTGTGACTAGCAAGAACTAACTGGGCCACAGAAATCCTGTCTCTCGCCCCTCGAACTCTTCTGGAAGCGGCTCCTCGCTCTTGGCGTCGGTATCACGCAAATCCAGCCGTAGGCTTCCTGCATGTTCCTGAATATCATTCGGACAAGTGCGAGGACAAGTCGTGCCACCGCGACTGAGACTGAATGTTTTTTTCGACCGTTCCCTCACTACCTCGGTATAAAAAAGTTGACTGACGAAACACTGGGGCTTCAATGCTGTCTATCTCAAGATCCACGCCATGGCTGGCGATAAACTGGCGCTTCCGATGTCACGTGATCGAGAGCGTGGACGCCGTGTGGTTCTCAGCCTACGATCCATGTGGGCGGGCTGCCCACACCAGAAATTCGCTAACCTTCGAAGCATTGTAGAGGAATGCGAGGTGGTTCAAAACAAAGCCGTGCTCTCCACTCTCACCGCGAGAGGACCCGCTTTTGGGCACGGGCATACACAGTGCTGGGAAGGGTCGTCAAGGTTCTTGCTAGATCCAAGCAAAATACTTTGAGAGCGCAGACACAACGAAAACACTCCTCATCTATTCCTTGTACATCTCCATCACGGATCCACCTATCGAGAGGCTTGTGCTTGATGACACTGATTATGGTGATCCCCCACTGTCGGTGTTCGGAGGGAAGTTGACGACAATCTCGCGCAACGCCCTTCTCTATGGAAAAAGCGTTTGAGAAGATCTCTGCGGGGAGAGTGAAAATCAAAATTGGATAGGACGGACAAAACAACTTTCGCATGTGGATGGGTGCCCCTTCATCAGTTCGCAAGATCAAACTCCAACAGCAGCCTAGGTTGCGTGCTGCCTGCTTGCCCAGAGTGTTAACACTGTGTTGCCCTCACAAGGGCGGCAGCCCTTTGCGGAGCTGGAGCTTTTAGCCATGAGGACTAGCAAAGGATGAGACCTCGAAATGCTGTATGACATTGCTCAGCATGTGTTCACTTCGAATCCGCTGTTCGAGCCTTCTGCTGCACAAGAGCTCTTGTTGGCCTCTTCGGCATCCTCATAATAATTAGAAAGGAGGCTTGATGCACTGCTACCACTGGGACCTTGGTTGTGTGTGTTGGACAACGAAGGTGATTGAGCCTGACCTAAGGTATGGATATGGTGGCCGAATCTATTAATTCGACCATTGATTGATGAGTCGAGCTCAGTGTTGGATCGGATGTGGACTCAACCAGTGTACCAGGGACCCCGATATTGCCCTCTTCCTAGCGTTGGCGGATGGCAAATGGCGGCACAGGACGTGCATCGTCAAATAACCAAGACAAGGGAGGGGTCCTAGGGGTTTGGCTTGGTCCAGGAGCAGGAGCACAGGGCATGTGTTGGGTTCCAGCATTAATAGTATTTGGGATTGGGGCAGATGAATACGGTATGAGTCTAGCGAGTCGACACGGAGTACCGTACACAATGGATTCGGGAACTGGGGTCCATGGCCTGCCCCTCCTTCGACAACCACACGACAGTTGCGCCTAATTTGTCGTGCTGAAGTACCTCTTACCCGCTGGCCTGTCCCTCGTTTCTTACCGCAGTGCTGGAAAATAAGTCGTGCTGCAACTGAGTCGGAAGAGTGAAAAACACCGGTGGCCAAGGAGATTTTAGATTTTCACTAAAAACCAACGCATCCCCAGAATGTTTATGGAAAAGAGTCCCTTTTTCACAACTCGTGGAAATCAAGCTCTCTCTTGGCCAAATCCCTGCGCGTCACTGAGCGAGCTGTTTCTGTGTGCCAGTGCTGTGTTATGCAGTGTGCAGTAGACGGGAAGTACAGTACATTCGGCCGTTTCCACAATACAATACACTGCACCACATCAATCCAATCCCCTCCACATTGATCCATCCCGATCGGTTCTGTCGACCCAACCACCAGTCGCCGCCTGCTTCCCTCGAATCGCCCGCCCCCCTCCCTACCATTTCCCCCAGCAACTCCCACTCCTCGACCATCACCAACCAAAAATTCGCTTGCCTTCGACAGCAGCTCTTGTCGTGAGACAGTCTCTTATCTTGGCCAAAGGTTCGAACAACGGACTTACCGAAATTCTCCTTGCTCGCGCCGCTTCGACCCGTCGACTCGTCTGTTGGGGTTACGTCCGTCCTGTTCCCCTCCTTTTTCTCTTCCATTTTCGCCTCGCGACCTTCGACCCGCGAGCGCAGCCTGGGACAGGAGCAATCGGACGCACCCAGTTGAATTTTACACGAGGCGACTCTAGTTCTACCTCTCGTTCTATCTTGGGATCGTTGACTCGAATGTTCCCATGATCCACCTCTCATCTGTCCACCCGTAGTTGGACCTTCTCTCACCGCCGTACCACGACTCCGGACGCCCACCGACGCCCCCTCCCCAGCCGAAAACGAAGCGCCATCACCGCCCTCCCCCGGTATCATCCTCTTCGATCTCCACGATGGATGTAATGGCCCATGCCCCCTCATACGAAACAACACGACGCCCATCTTCAAGCGGGACCGAGATAAGGAGGAATTCCCGCCGGAACCATGAGCAGCGCGCCGCGCACTAGCCAGCTTTCTGGCTCGACCGCCTTCAACAGCTCCACACAGTCTCTCAACTCGCTCTCCAGCGCCCAGACCGTCGTAACCCCGATGAATGGTGCGGGTGGCCCTGTGATTGCGACTGCCAATATCATCAACCAGAAAGCCGATGCGTCACGGTCACTATACCAAATCTGCATAGCCCTTCGGCAGAGGCTGAATCAGGTCCCTAGCCTCGAGCCCTACTTAGAGGAGCTGGACCCCAACGACCCTGTTGATTCCCTCTGGAACTTTTTCCGCACGGGCATGCCCTTTCTCACCATTTTCAACGCACTGCAACCGGCCGAGCCTATAGGAATCGACGAGGCGAACGCGAATGCGCCCGAAGCCAAGAAATCCAAGATTGCCGTCTTCAAGTTTGTGCAAGCCTGTCTGAAAGACTTGAACATTCCGTCTGCCGACTGTTTTGTTATCAGCGATGTCCTAGGCACTGATACTAGCGGTTTTGTCAAGGTATGCCACTTGTCTCTGCCATTCCTGACGTGATTCTTCGTGCTTGACAAAGAATTAACGCACCCGCGCACGGAAATCCCTATCCTGCTGGAATGATGAGCCCTTCTTTCTAACATTGTTATAAGGTCACGCAAGTCGTCAATTATGTGCTCGATGTCGCTGAGCAGCGTGGACTACTCCTCCAAGCACAGCCGTATCCTAACGAAAACACCATGGATCAAGCCGCAACTTCCCAGATGAGCTACCGGGATCATATCCTCAAGGAGTTGGTTGATACCGAGCGCAAGTACGTCCAAGATCTCGAGAACTTGCACGACCTTAAGAAGACCCTGGAACAGAGGGGCATTGTTCCTGGAGATGTTGTCCACCAAATCTTCCTTAATATCAACGCCATCCTTGATTTTCAACGGCGATTTCTCATTCGGGTCGAAACTACCAACTCCATGCCGGCCAATAACCAGAGGTGGGGCAACCCATTCGTGACGTTTGAAGAATCTTTCGACATCTACACGCCCTTTATTGCAAACCAAAGGAAGGCGGCGCAAACCGCCAATCTCGCCTTTGACAAGATTCAGGCCGCGGACCATCCCGTAGCTGTTGACTTTAACACGCTTGACGGCTTCCTGTTAAAGCCTATGCAACGCCTTGTCAAGTACCCTCTTCTACTCAAGGTAAGGTCCAACCCTTTTCCAGGCTCGAGGCCGTATTGGTGACCGTGTTCGACTAACCCCTCGATTAGGATCTCTGCAAGAAATCAGAAGATGAAATCGTTAAGCAAGACCTGACTCTCGGTATTGAAGCCGCCGAACGAGTTCTTACCAAGGCCAACGAAGCTGTAAACCGCGATCTCCTTGACGAGGCGATGGAGGATCTCAAAGTAAGGGTTGACGATTGGCGAAGCCATCGTATCGAACAATTTGGCAACCTCTTGCTTCACGGAGTCTACACAGTCGTGACCGGCCGCACTGACCAAGAGAAGGATGTAAGTGGAACTTTTTTCTTGTTACCTTTGCTTCTACGACAACGCGTTGCTAACCCATGGGTCTTCTCCAGTATGAAATCTATCTTTTCCAGTACATCCTGCTCTGCTGTAAGGAGGCCTCGGCATCCAAGTCGAAGGACAAGAAAGACAAGACTCGATCGACTGGACCCAAGATCCGTAACAGAAGTGCAAAGCTGCAGTTGAAGGGCCGTATCTTCATGACGAACGTAACCGAAGTTGTGACGCTTGCAAAGCAAGGTTCATACAGCATACAGATCTGGTGGAAGGGCGACCCTGGCGTAGAAAACTTCACCATCAAGTTTTCCAATGAGGAGACAATGAAGAAGTGGGCGAGTGGGCTTGAGGCGCAAAGAAAGGCTAATACACTTCCAAAGTCCACCTCTAGCCCAGATCTAGCACCGCCAGAATTCCCTTGGCTCCGAGCCCAGGCCAACAGCATCAGCGCGATGGAGAATCCTTACAAGGAGCAGGACATGGATGAGGAGGAGGATTACGGTGCACCCGGCTCTGTACCTTTCGGGGTTACCCAGTCGACTGGTGGTACGATGCTTCCCCGAAATGCCTCGAACACGAGTCTGCGTCAGCGGTCTGCCACGGGAGATAGCTCTCAATCGCTCGCGGGCATTGCCCGCGCACCACCCGCGATATCCTCTGCCAACACCACCAGCTCCACTGAGTCTCCAGACGCAACTAGCTGGCCGTGGTGCCCCTTCTCCCGGTGAACGCTTGGGTGAATCATACTTCTCCCCTATCGCCGATTCTCCCGTCTCCTCGCGAACCAGTACCGCAAGCGGGATGATGGCGACCCCAGGCTATCCGTTCCCCAAAACGACAACCCCCAGCCACCGTGGGAGGATACCACCAACAGATATACCGCACCTGCGATGCCTCGAGCCCCATCAAGGGATGGCACATCTCCGAATGCATATGGTAGGGGTGCTAGGGGTCCGTCCCTCCCTGGAATGCCGCCCAGCGCCGCCCAACAGCAACGAAGCCGGTCTTACAGCACTCCTGATATCAATGGCCAGCCTAATATGCGGAGGAATACAGCCGGCCCCGGACCCTCAGGAGTACCAGCAGTGCCCGGTATCCCCGCCCACCTGCATCATGACAACACGATACCAAGGTCCCAGAGCGGCTCCCCCGTATGGATATGCCCATCCGATCGAACACGCAAAGCCCTGGCGTTCAACGCGAACGGATACACCAATCTTCTGGTAGCATTGGTGGCACAATGTCTCAGTTCCCCGCTCAGCCCATATACCCCCGCCAGACAACACCAGGCCCGGCTCCGGGGCAGGCGCCCATGTCTATGGACTCTCGAACCGTTTCGCCCCCGCCGAACATGGCCAACAATGCCTTCAACGACGAGTTGGCGTTGCCCACCCAACTAAAGGTCAAGGTTAATTGTGAGGGTGGCACGTACTTTACTTTGGTCGTGGCCTTCAACATCACCTATCAGACCCTGATCGATCGCATCGACGCAAAACTCGCGAGGTTTACGAGCAGCAGCATTGGCAGGGGCCTGCTGAAGCTCCGATATAGGGACGAAGACGGCGACTACGTGAGCATCGAAAGCGATGATGACATCCAAATCGCCTTCCTCGAGTGGCGGGACGGTATGCGCAACATGTATCCTGGTGGGGTGGGTGAGATTGAGCTCTTCTGTGTTGGTGATACCCCGGCGTGAAGCTGGTGAAGACATGGACGGGGTTAGGGACGGTTGTCAAGACATACTTGTGTTTTCGCCCTTTTGCCCGGCTCACAGCATCGTTTGGAACTGTTATAGGAGCATTTGGTTGCATTGTTGTATGCTTTGTTTTTTTTTTTTTGGCGTCTTGGAGTGCTCCGTCATTCATTCACCCACCCCCTTCCACCCTCCACGCTCATCCGACCTCCAACACCCTCCCCCGCCCTTTGCTTTTTATTTCTTCGTCTCTCTATAGGGATTGTTTGTCTTTTTGACCCTTCCATGGTTACGACTACGCCTGCCGCGGCTATTAGAGCAGGTGTTCGCGATCCCGGGTCTCACATATACCACGACATGTCGCGCATGATACCACTCACTCTCGCTCTTTTTTTTTTTTACAATGAAGACCTCGTCGCGCTCAACGTCACTTCACTCTCCTTGGCCGACACACAAACTTCACACCCCTTTGGCCTTTTGTGGAGCAATTCACGGTACGAAAACGATATGCCATTGGTTTGCCGTTAAATAGAGTTACTTAACCGGCCACTCCGGTTGTTGGACCTAATACCCGTTTCATGCCCCTTTGAGACTCTCCCAAATAGCTTTTCGTCATAGTATTATATCATGTCCATTGTGCAAGAGTTTTGGTTTCCTACTTTCTTCAGGGATCTCGGTCTCATCTGTGACATGTCTCCAGTAGAGAGAGGTATTCAAGAAGAGTGTGGTGTGAGGAGAGGAGGGAAAATAGATATGGGACCCCAGTCCATACTGCCCAAAGGGAAAATCAGAAGGAAAGGGACGAGGATTTGAGGCGTAGACTTTAGACTATATGCCGATATAGCCTTGAAACGAGCGGATCAAGTTGAACCCATTTATTTTAACACCGTTTATAGAGAAACATGACTGATAGTACATTTTTATCAAGAACAAGCCCGGTGTCTCTCACCCCGGGACTTCCATCCCCTTCTGCTTTAAGCCTCCCAGGATTGGGGCAGGCCACTTCCTCCAACGCAGTAACCCCTCTAGTGACCGATACGCGTGGCTCAAGGTTGAGATGACCAGAGTTGTAAGCATCAATCTTGAAAATTCTAAGCCCAGGAGCGCCCTGGGGGTATTCTATAGCCTCTTTCATATCGTACTCGGACCATGGTGGATTCCGTAGGTTTCGAATATCCCCGTTTAACTACTCTTCGTCGTTCCGGTGAACCTCTTCTGGAAGCGGCCCAGATGGTAGTTGATGTTGCTCTTGGGAAGAGGAGGGGGCCTCTTGGCGTCCATACACGTGCGTAATTGTTGTTCGATGATGGCGCAGCCGGCGGTGTTGTACCCTGAGGAGGCCCAGCACGCTAGGAGTCATGTTAGTTGACACGATGCCCAGCCAAAGAAGCTATCTGGAGCTATGCGGCGCGGCATTATACCGCGGGCGAAGCTGCCCCGGTTCGAGGGTGGCCGATTACGAACCTAGAAGAGATCCCATCACTCGTACACAAGGGTTCTCTTGCTTCGGATTGGGATCCTTGACCCGGAGCCGGTTAAGGGTGGGGAGGCGAATGGGCCTTTGCCCGGGCATCTTGGGCAATATCTGAAAGAGACCGAAGGCGCGGGGGTCGAAGGGAATCACACGGTAGGTATCGTTCGGTTTCGTTCTCGTCGTGGGGGAAGACACTCGCGTGGAGGCGTGGATGGCGTGGATGGCGTGGTGCGCGCGCAGATGGCCGTTTTTCTGCTCCAAAAATTTGAGGCCTCGAGATTGAATGCGCTTGCTTTCCCCTTCCAAGCCTGGCACGGTTCCCTGCGGTGGAGACGGGCCAGCTGTACAGGCGGTCACGTGTGATAACGGGGCGGTGAGGGCTTATCGAGAAAATGTGGATTGGCCCACCTGCTCCTCTAGACTGGACCCTTGGATTGAATCGGGCAGAATATCTAATACACTCCGGCGCGTTGCTCCAGTTGACACGAGGAAGGGGCATATGTGACGCGATTCAATTGAAAAAATAGGAACTTTCTTTTGATTCAGGAACCCTATTCAAAATCCATGACTCCTCTTCCCCAAGGCCAATCACTGAATATTAAAAAATTTCATTTGCTTGGCTTAGATATTTGCTATTGAGTTGAGGGTCGCACCCTAGTTTGAAGAATCAGGTACCGGATTTGGAAGGCGGTGTTCACACTATATGTACCTGTACAGCTATAATCGCCGAATACTACGCCAAAAACACGTGTCACAATGTCGCTATACTTCAGAACGGGAGTCAGTTAGCCTCAACCAATCATCTTTGCTCCGTCTCGTAGCTTCCGCCCCTCCAACATTGTAAACAACCTCTTTTGAGAAAGCTCGTCCATTTATTATTTTCTTCCCCGTCCTCGCACACACCGCGACTTTGGCACCTTTAAGATCCAACTAATTCTCCAATCTATATTATAGAGAGGACTCTTTTTCTTTCTTTACTTGCACTTCTTTCTTCCCAATTTCTCTTTCAGTGCCACATTGGAGCTACTATATCAACTCTCTGTCTGCAACTACACACAGACAGAGCTAGCTTCAACAGTACGATCCCAACCGTGTCCGCAAGCCTCCTCGCGTCTCGACAAGACCCCCATCGCGAGTAGGACTTTGTGTGGCAGCTTATTCCCCCGAGCCATATCCCGACAACCCTCCACAAATTCCTATATATATTCGACGAGAGTCGATCAAGTATCATGGCATTCCAGCCATTAAGTCTAATGTTAGTACCTGAGCGCGTCCTGAGCTCCAGTCAACGCTGAATTCTATTCTAACATATGATGCGGGCAGTGCCGAGGCAATCCAGACGAGTCCTGTGGGTTACCAGAAAGCCGATGATATTTGGCTTTCAAATAACGGTAGTCTCACTGCTTGCAGGTACGCGCGCCCAACGATTCCCCCACATGGTCCGAACCGGTAGTCAATGTTGTGCCGCTAGCATCGTCACTTTTAACCAAACATCGAGGTTCATTTGCTAACCGAATCTTTTGGGACAGTCCGGCATATACCCACGAACTATCCTTCGTTCCAACCGCGAAAAGGCTTCGCGCCTGGGACCGCGTCACAGTCCCCTCGCGACAAACCGGGCGAGTAATCCGCCATCGGGCCAGCACTAGGTACACTTCGCTCCCTACGCCGACCCGTTCTCCTATCCACAATAAAAGAGGGTCTGCCGGCAACCTGCCGTCCTTCGGGACCGTGTCACGGAACACGGCTATGAGAAAGGGGAGGCTGAGTTCCTTGGTTTTTGGGACCAGCTCGGGGCCCAGGTACAAACCAGGAACAACCTCTTTATCGACCAGGTGCTTCCCCTCAAGGCGGACAATACACAGGCCCTCAGCCGCCGCAAGCATGGCTACGAGCCCAGCGGATACTCTCTAGGCCCAAGCAGTATTCTTCCAGCGGCTCTCTTACAGAAGCTTGATTCGATGTCTTCAATGCAGTCCGCCAATCTGACGGTTAGCCTGATGGTGGCGAGACTGTGTACCGATTTGAGACACGCGGGCATGCTAGATACTAGGGTTCGATTGAGTACCGAAGGTCGGCCACGTCTTTCTGATATTTCGGAAGTGACGGAGCCATCGAGCCCGGAGCCTATCTCAACCCCTACCACATTGAGGCGTCTGTCGACGTGGTCGCCGGTCAAGCTAATAAGCGACTCGATCAAGTGGGGTTTGCGTCGTTTATCCTCGTCCTCGGCGAACACGACCTCAGCGGACACTCCTATATGCTCTCCGCTCGCCTTTACTAGTGGAGGGTTTGCCGTATGTGGAGGGACAAGACAGCGCACCTCTGTCGTCGAATGCGGGCGAGACGGGCTCTAAGATGTCGGCGGTATTCACGAGCTCAACCGTTCAGCAACTGAGGAACAGCAATCTGAGAAGCTTTAGAGTGGACTTCTCTGCAGAGGCTTTCCAGATCAGTGGCTCGGGTGTCCCACAGCAGGTTTCACCCAACGAGTACTCGGTTGATACCAAGCAAAACCTCGACATCTTTAGCCAACGCTCCCTTTCCGTTGTCCAGACGCTCGCCGACGTGTCGGCGGAAGTCTCCACAGGGTCGGTTGACGCTAACGTTGTGGTGGAAAAGAAGGATGGTCGCCTTTTCGTGAGGTTCAAGATGCCCGCGGAATTCGCCTCCTACTTCGCCCAAGCTAGTGTCTCGGCCGTTTCCATGGACGCCGCTGAGGATGTCCCAGCTGAAGAAGACGTTCAGCACAGCCCTCCCTCTCCGTCTCCGGTCCCGAAGACGCAAAAGCAATCCGTGGCTCGGCCACTTGCAAACGTCTCCGAAGGTGAAAGCAACGCGGTGGGTTGGGCAGCGGCACCGAGTGAACCTTGCACACCCTTCGCCACGCCTCACATCCCGATGGGCTCAGAAGAACGCGATATCGATACCCCCGGATCGGATGCATCATTTGTGTCGACCAATACTGATGTATTGGTCGCGGGTCTACCGGATACCCCGACTGCCATCGTCCTCGGAGGCCATGAGCCGCTGGGCACCTTTGGCAGCATGTTGGCCGATGATGATGAGCCTACGGGCGTTATTCAAGACTGCGGAAGCCCAGTTCCATCAAGCCCTGCAAGTGTTGTTCATAAGACCCCTCAGACTCCACGGATCTTGCGCCCTCGGCCCGAGTTCACCCCAAGACTCAACCGGACCGTGCCGCCTTCGCCTAGTCCTCTCCGACAAGTCCAGAATGCCGACGAGCTCGATTGGAATGAGGTATCGTTCATGTCGACAAACACAGATTATCTTGTGCATGGTCTGCCAGACACACCCACAGGCATTGTGCTTAACTCGGAGGCGAACACGCCCCGTTACAGCAACCGACTAGCCTCCATTGCCTCCACTGTGCTGTCAACGCCTCCCGCCCAGTACACCCTTTTCTCAACGGGCACAGCTCCGCCAACCGGGGTCGAAACCCCGCAACGCCTGCAGACCCCGGTCGCCACGAGCCCCAATGGCGAAGAGGCGACTATGAATATCCACATGTACGGCGAGGACGGATCTCCCTCCCTCAAACACGGACCGCCCAGCAAGTGTCACTATTCTCCTCGAGCCCCGCTATTGAAGATGGCACACTCAATATCCATTCGTATGCCGATGGATCGTCTCAAACGGATCAGTCTTTCGGGGACTTGTCGTTGCTTTCTACCAACACGGAGCGCCTTGTGGGTGATCTTCCCGACACTCCAACTGCTCTCGTCCTCGATCCCAACGAGTTCAATACTCCTCGTTACAACATGATCTTGCAAGCCCGCCCCTCTTCTCTGTCTTTCTCGCCTCCCCTCGATCTTGAAACCTCTCCAATCCTGCAGAGCAACTCGGATACTCCCAGTATGCCGCAGCAAAGCCCTGTGCGCGCAGAGTTCGTTGCCAATGACGACGCGGCCACTCCTCATCAGAGGGTTACCTGTGTGGGAGACGGCATCATTATAGAGGATTCGCCTAGTACTCCCCTACCACCGCAGCTTGTCAGCCTCAGGACGAATCCGAAGGTCAGCAGACATCCCCAACGCCTTCGAAGCCGGCAAGGAGCGCGCCTACTCTGGCAACTGCCCCAACGTCGGTGGTTGATTCCCCTGGGGAGGTCGCTGCAGTCACGGAAACAGCCCGGCCATCTACGCCTAGCCCCACCACGCCCCAGAAGATGACTCCTCACCCACCGCCGGCGAGTGCTTCTGGTTCAATTGTGCGAGACCTTGAGACAAGCGCCACTCCTACTGTTAGGCAATTTACTCCAGTTCCACGCACGCCGGCTAAGCAGTGCGAGAACATGCCTGTGAACCTCATGTCGAGCTCCAAGGCAACGACAACCCCGCACAAGTCTCCAAAGGTGTCGGGTTTGGTTGGCACTCCTGTCACTAAAGGAAGTCCTTTGAAGCAAAGCACTCTTTCGGAGCCCCGGGCCCGTACTCCGCAGTCTGCTCGACCCGCTCGGCCGGATCATCTGGCAGAGGCTCAGGAGGCAGAGGATCGAGCCTACCTTGACAAGTTTTTGAACCAGCACAAGGCCAGTAAGGCTGCCCGAACCGCTGAGATTCAGAGTCGCCCCAGTACCATGAGCACAGGCTCGCCCGCACCTCGGTTACCATTGGGTCAGGTCGATGTTAACATCTCGAGCCCCAAGAAGACGAGCCGGAAGCGGAAGACAGAAGACGGTGAAGTCAAGGTGGTGGACCCCTCTGAGCCTCCATCGAAGAAGACCCGGAGTAGCGACAACGCCAAGGCCTCTGACCTCAGACGATCTACTAGAGTCAGAGCCAAGAAGGCCGAGGATGTCGCTGACCAGGCCGACCAAGGATCGAAGATCCCGGTGAGGGTAGGATCGGGTGTTATTGGAGGGCAGGCGACGGGAGGCAGGGATGCCGACCTGGCTGCTGTGACGCGCACTAACACGCGACGGAACAAAGGTCAGGCGGATATGCCCGAGGAGGTGCTCGCACGCCAAAGGGCCGATCCTCAAGGCCATCGCATGCAAGAACTAAAGGAAATTCATGACGCGCGAGTGGCAAGACAAGGACGGCCCGCTAAGAAGAAGGCGGTTGCTTGGGGCGAAAACCAAATCGTTTACCACGAAGTTGAAGACGAGGAGGAGGAGATGACGACCACGGCACCCGAGCCTGTGTCCATGCCTGCGCCTGTGGAAGCTGGAACCCCGCTTCCCAAGAAATCAGCGGGCCGTCCGGCAAAGTCGAAGAGTAGTACCAGCTCCGGTACCAGCTCCAGCACCAGCTCCACTTCCAAATCGACGAGCAGGTCTACCACCAAGACGTCCACCAAGGCGAGCACAACCAGTGCTGTCTCGAAACGCTCTGCACCCACCTTGACGCAAGCGGCTGGCGTAAGGAAGGCAACGCCCAAGAAGACGACGACGAGGAGTACCGTGACGAGCTCGGCCTTGACCTCCACACCCAGTCGGAGACAGACACGGTCATCCACCAGGTCGAGCAAGTAAAAGACTTGCGGCGTTTCAACTGGCAAGGGCCACGATGTCCAAATGAGAATGACTTGATGTTTCTTTTTCTTTTTCTTTTTCTTTGATGAATGAAGGAGTTGCGAGAAGATGGGAGTTTGATTTGTTTTTATGTATTTCTGCATTGCGTTGCGTTCCATTGCCATCATTGCATTCCATACGCACATGCAGCCCGAGGAACCTTGCAAAGTTCACGGGTTGTCTCTTTTTCAATGGGTGGGTTCTTTTTAAGAAGGGGGATTTTCTTGCTGGATTGGTTGCCAAGATACCTTTTTGTTGCTATTTTAGAATTTCTTTGGACGTGAACAATTGCAAATGCAAAATGGCCATCGCTAATGTTTCTCCATCATCAAGTCAAGGAGCATCTCATCCTCAGTGACCATCTTTAACCGTAGTACATGCCATGTCGCGCCGTTTATTTCTGTCCTAGTTGCCTCGCGGCCACACATCTCGAAGCTATCTACTGGCACCCCAGAAGCGTTGAACCATATTTAGCTCCCCTCCAACGTTTACATTAATTACATGTAGTGTCGTATCACACATCAAGTCATCAATTCATTCCTCACGCAAATCACGCAAACCCCTTACGCGTATCTGCCGGCAGCCTCAAGCTGACGCCCGTACTCCGTCTTCAGCACGACTTTGAGTCCACCGGGGATCTCGTGCGAGAAGAACTTGTCGTAGCACTCGCCGACGTTTTCGAGCCGGTCCTCGGCGGTAAACATCCACGAAGGATCGTATTTACCGGTCAAAACGAGCTCCAAGAGTTTTTGGATGTACTAGATGGAGAGGGAACAGTCAGAAAGAGTCTGCTTGAATTGGAGACGAGAGACTAGGCTCTTTTGGGAGGGGAAGATACCTTTGTGCGAAAAGCTGACCGCCACGGACGGTGATGCCCTTTTCCATGAGCGCGCCGATGGGGAAGTTGTTTGTGGTGAAGAAGAAGTCGCCAATGAGGGCAACGTTGCCCCTCTTGCGGGTAGCCTTGATGATGTCGGTCAAGGTGTCGCCGCTGTCACCCTCGACGCCGACGGCCTTCATGATCTTGTGCTTGGTAGAAATCTCGCTCCGGTAGCCGGCAGCCTCGATGGAGCAGTCAAGCCGCGGGGCTCCTGGGAGAGGAGCCAAGCAGCCACGTCCTTTGCACGGAGACGTCGACGGGGATCATGCCAAAGGACTCGGCGATGCGGAGGCGGTTCGGGTCGCGGTCCATGGCGTACACCTTGCGGGCGCCGCGCAGCTTAGCGAGGCGCTGAATAGACAGGCCGACGGGCCCGCAGCCCCAAACGCCGACAATATCCGCCTCGCCGACCTCGGCGAGCTCGCAGCCGTGCCAAGCGGTGACGGTGACGTCGGCGAGGCCGAGGACCTTTTTGGGCGCGACGTCGTCGGGGATCTTGACGCAGACGAGGTCGGCGTTGGGCACGCGGCAAAACTCGGCCTGGTCGCCGGGAAAGCCGCCGCACAGCTGGGTGTAGCCGAGGACGCCGGCCAGGCGGTGGCCGTACATGGCGTCCATGGCGTCGCTGGGGTTGGTGCGGTCGCAGAGGGAGTATTCTTCGCGGGCGCAGTAGAAGCAGTCGCCGCAGGCGATGACGGGCATGATGATGACGCGGTCGCCGCGGCGCAGGTGGCGGACCTCGGGCCCGACGTCCTCGATGACGCCGATGGCTTCGTGGCCCATGATGTCGCCCTTGTTCATGGCGCTGTCGAGGGAACCGTCGTACATGTGTAGGTCGGAGCCGCAAATGGTGCAGTGCGTGACGTGGACGATGGCGTCGCGCGGGGCGGTGATGATGGGCTTGGGCACGTCGTCGATGGCGATGTCGCGCGCGCCGTTCCAGACGGCGGCTTTCATTGTGAGCGTGGGGTGGGGCGCGTAGGCGGATTGGATTATGGGACTTTGCGCCATGGTGAAGATCAATGGGTTTTCCTTCTTTAGGAGGTGCGTTGGTGTGAGTAGCTTTGGCGGGAGTGGTGCCTGTCTAGTGTGTACATGTATGGTTTTTTTATCTCGGTCGTGAGAAGGTAGAGAGATATATGGTCCCAATCGTTTTAATTCTTCTATAGGTTATGAAGTGATTGGTATCCGTAGCTGTGGTTCTTATATATCTAGAGAGCTACATGAATATGCTCGTCGACTGCTGCAAGACCCCTAACCTACTGATATTACGTGTTATCCAAGACCCGCTGATTCGGCTGAGAAATGGGGCGCAACACCCCTTATCGATCTTCGATGTCTATCGATGATGCGATGATACCGACATCGCGTTCCTTAGCAGGTGGCTCTCAGCCATAGTCGCCACCCGCTACCCCAAGAGAGCTCCATCTCCACTTGAGGCTGGCAATGTGCTTGTCAGCGGTTGTTAGTCTCTTCTGTAGCGCCAAGCCATTGGAACGGCAGGGCTGCCAGAGAGGAGCGCCACGCCAACGAAGAGAACCTGGCTAGCCAACGGCCACAACTATGCGTACAGTCCTTGTCATGATGATTTGCGAGCGGGGTCCGATGATAATTTGGTATCCAAACAGAAGGGCTTTTCCTATGCGACATCCGTATTTGGTAGGTAGCTAGGGGTTTTGTTGTTGTAGCAAGCGCCCACTGATGGAGGATGGTGGGAAAATGACGTCGAAATGCGCTTGTGCTGGCGGATGCGCCACGAAGCCGGGGGCGCCCTGGGGTTGCAGATTGTGCAGATTGTGGGGATTTCGGTGGCGGTGGGGTTGGTTTCCGCTTCGAGTAAAAGAAGCAAGGTATCACAAGAGTGAATTGCGGACGTGCATTCTCAAATGCATTCCCTTTCTACCGGCATCAGCACGCTTCGTGGTATCTGGAATCGCTCACGTCGGTATAGGCCTAAATCTGCCTCCACTGGGGCGAGTATATGCAAGAAAGGTCCGAGCATTGGTAGAGAGAACTTTGATCAAAGGATGCGGGAGATTGCGCCTGTGTGCTGAAAGCATCAAATTTGGTATCAAGGAATAAATCTCGTGTGGTACTACGTGAACTCGATCAAACAATCACCGTGTTACTCTGACCATTCTGGCCGTTCTCCCCGTTCTGGGCAGTTTCACCACTGTGGTCGCCGTTTTGACCATTTTGCCCGTTTTGCCCGTTTTGACCATTCTGCCCATTCTGACCATTCTGTCCATTTTGTCCATTTTGGTCGGCCTGGACGGGCACCACGACATCCGCCCTCGGCACAAGCTCATCAAGCGCCAACACCTTCCGCATGACCCTCTCCAAGCTCGCCTCCGGATCCTCCCGCATCCTCACAGCCCTCCACGCCACGAAGCGGTCCGGCCTCGCCAAAACGCACCCGTCCTCCTCCACCTCGCGCCGCCTCGCCCAGTCAAAGTAGACGTCCTCGCAGTCCTGCCTCCACCCGATCGAGTACGCCTTGATCTCCACGCCCAGGGACGCCGACACCGCGGCCGCGGCGCGCTTCCACGCCTCGGCGCCCGAGGGCCCCGTGAGCAGGCAGAAGCGTCCGTGGCCCGCGAGGTCAATGGTGGAAAAGGGCTTCGTGGGCGCGCGCGTGTTGAGCCACGCATGGGGCAGCCGCTTGCCCGGGTACGTGCCGATCTGGTAGTCCTTGACGGGGTCCGCGGGGGCGGGGGCGGGCCGGCGACCTCGTCGTCGGTGTACACGACGGCGGACTGGTACCGCTGGTTCATCTCGACGCCGAGGCCGTGGAACTCGCTCGAGGTGATTTCGATGTGGCGCTGGAACTCTTCGCGGCGGAGACGGCCCTTTTCGCCGGGGTCCTCGAACTCGGCGAGGATGGCGCGGCGCTTCTCCACGTCGGGCTCGACCATGCCAATGGTTTCCATCCAGGGTCCGTGGTCGCGGAGGCCCTGGTTGGCGCGCGTGATGACGTCGACGCCCACGGGTTGACGCTCGGCGGAGAAGGACTCGAGGATGGAGGGTCCGGCCTTGCCTGACATGACGTAGTGGATCTTCCAGGCTAGGTTGAAGGCGTCCTGGATGCAGGTGTTGGACCCTAGGCCGTTGAAGGGCGGGTGTCGGTGAACGGAGTCTCCGAGGCAATGTCTGGAAACGCGCCCGAAAAGGTAAGCCAAAAAGCACGTAACCGTTTGAGGTGTAGTAGAGGTAAGGAGGAAGAAGGAGTGAAACAAAAGGGGAGGGGTAGAATGTCCAAAGAGGTCAGACTTACACGTTTCCGTCCGAGTATCGTTCCGCGACAATCTCGTTGATCCACCACTTGCTCACGTTTAAAATCTCGACATCAATCGAGTCATCTCCAATCATTTCCTTCATCCGCACCATGTACTCTTCGTGGGTCGCGTCCATGGAGTCCAAGGTGACGTCGGCGCCCGGCTGGGGCAGAAAGATGAACATCCACTCCTTCCACGGCTTCACCATGCGCACCACGGCGGCCCACCCCCAGATGGGATGCTCCTTTTCCGGGAGGAACGCCCAGTGGAGATTCCCGGTGCGGTTCTCCATGAGCTGGGACATGTCGGCGCGGGCCAAGATGTTGAGGGCGAGGCCCTGGCCGGGCTTCTTGATCAGGGGGATGTCGAGGTCGCGCACGACCTGGCTGCGGGCGCCGTCGCAGCCAAAGAGGAAGCGGGACTGGATCTTGTAGGTTCGGTTGAGCACGCGGTCCTCGACCTCGCTGATGATGACGTCGGGGCTCGGCCGCTCGCAGTGCAGGAATTTGGTGTTGAACACGAGCTTCCAGCCCTTGTGCACGGCGTAGCGGATTAGGATGGGCTCGAGCTCCGTCTGGGGAGGTCTACGTGGTCGCATGGGCTCGCCGCGGCGTACTCGCCCTAATTCGCAGGTAGGGTCAGCATATGATGATGCCCGCGTAGGCCGGGCTGAGAATTCCGCTTTCTTTCTTTTCTTTTGCTCATTGCCCCCAGAGGAGGGGAGTGGATATTGTGACTGTGATTGCACCTACCTTGCGTTTGGGATCATTGCCCCAAGAGTGAATGCGAGCATACTCTTCGCCAGCCATGGTATGACACCATCTTGTATGCGCCATGTTGCCGCCGTCCGAAGCAAGGGCGAGGCATTGCTCGTCGAGACCGATGTCACGCAGGCATTCTGATAGACCGCGTCAAAGATTAGAACCCTACGCGCGCCCATGGTATAAAAAAGGGGGGAGGCGACTCAGAAGGGGTGAAGGAGGGGTGAAGTGGTGTTGGAAGGGCTGGTGTTGAGTCTTTGGAAGTTCATACCAAGGCCGGCCATATTAGTGATGTGGGCTCGCGGTGTCTCGGCCGACCACGAATCCCGGGCGATGATGATACCGGTCCTGCCTGTGCGCGCACGCGGGGTGGTTCTCGTTAGCTCACCCTTCCTTCAGCTACCCGGCGCTAGACTAGCCCCTAGCCCTAGCTCGGGGGAGAAAAGAGGAACAAGGGGAAAAAAATTTACCATGTGAGGCTAGGAAGCAGGCGAGCGAAGCCCCAGCGGGGCCCGCGCCAACAATGAGCAGGTCGGTCTTGAGCACTGATTCTTCAATCATGTCGACGGTGAGCCTCCGGCCGGATGGTCGAATGAATTCTTACAACGAAAGGGAGGACCGCAAAAATGTGGCGAAGGAAAATAAAATAAAAAAGGGCAGGAGCAGAAGCCGAGCAGTAAGGAGGAGGATGAGGAAGGAACGCGAATGAATTGACGGTAACCAGGAAGAAGAAGAGCAAAGACCAGGCAACTTCCCCGCCAACAGCCAGCTAGATAGATGGATGGATGGATGGGGGAAAGGGAAGGGATATATTATTATTGAGACTGCAGCTGCGGACGGAAATTATCCAAAACGTACCATTGATACCTCCTCACGTAATATCTGACGAAGACCCCGGGAAAAATGACTTGCTCAACGAGATGGATTATCCACACTCGGATCTTGGATCTGCAAGCTCGGCCACGGGCCCGCCCGACGTTGATTGGAGACGGGGGCCAAAGAGGTTTTGACACAGGTTGTGATGGGCGTTAATACTTCGTACGTTTAACGAGCAGGGACCAACAGCTACAAGTACAAGTCATAATCAATGCTCGAAACAGCACGCAAGGCAATGATCAAAGAACGGCTCCTGAGAGTGAAAGTATGGACGTTGGCTCCTACTGCGCTACCTCCAGGAACGCACCAGACCCCAGCCAAAAATGACGAGGGTGGATAGCGTGGGCAAGAGTTCCATGAACGGCGGGGCCTAGTCACTGGCGTATCCATCCAGAATGGATCAATTGATCCAATGTAACGATACACTCGACGACATGATGAGCAAGCTGACAGGTCTTCCTTAGGGGACTAATACTCCCTTATCGCCGTTTCGCCAAGCGTGCTGTCGGCCATGTGCCATTTGAACTGTCGCTCGTTCGTCCAATATATTCGACCTCGAAAAGCCTACATGTACCCACCAGAAACAATGGCGGAGGAAATGGAGACGAGAGCTGCTTCTTCGCCGTACCTTGCATGAGTGGGCGGTCCGCCGGCGGCAAGCAAAGTGTTTCGTTCATGCAGATTGAATCAGATCCTTTTTCTGTCCTTTGCATGCGTACGTACATGTTGCCCGGAATTGATTCCTATTGATGTTTTACGTGTGCGCGTAGTGTCATTTGGTCGCCCATGGAATTCCTAGACGACAACCATGTCAATTATCACCCCAATCTGCACGGTTTCAAGGTTCTCGGGTTCTCGCGTGCGGAATTTATCACGGCTCGCTTTCCTCAGAACATTTGAAGTGTACGGATGCAACGTGCAGCAACAGGATGGAGCAGTGCCACAAGGACAAGCGGCACTGAGATCCCATATCCTGATCGTCTCATCAGGGCCAGCGCCGACGAGGGTTTCGCGATCTGAAGAAAGGACGACCAACCGGACGATAAACTCCTAGTTGTCGGCACCCGCGATGGTCACCATGTACATGTAATTAGAGATCACCAATCCTCAACGCCCCGTTTAGCACGCTGGTGGTGACAAGTATGATATCTAGGGGGCCGAAATAGAGTAGACGGACGGAAAGCCTGGCCTTCAACGCCTCGCTGTGTATTCCTAACTTCATATCTAAACACTCATGGTACCCTCACCATCGACAGACGCTATGGCCCCTCCGTATTGCGCAAAATCGCTTAAAGAAACTGTCACTAGTCTCATAAACTTATTGTGATAATACCACAAGGATAGAAATTTGAATTTCAGTCTTTCCTATGGCCTTCTCCCGCGGCAGGGGACAGCAAAGTTCAACCATCTTCGGTCTCTTAAGGCTTCCAAGTCACTGTCCGAAGAAGAAGTTCTACCATCTCCTCGTCATGCGGACAGTTGCACTTTGGAAAACTTGTCATGCGGCCATGGGGAATTGTGTAATGAGAAGCGAGAGCTTGAAGAGCCTCTTGATGAACTCGGGTATTGACTGAAAGCTCTTCTGGATATCCGAAGTAGGCTTGAAAACCGCCTCCATGACTATTCTTAGGAAAGATTTACCAGCTCTGTTTTTCCTTCCGTCGGAAGCCATCGCCAAAACTTGAGCAAACTGTCAGTTAGCCTCTCGACTTGGGCAAAAAATCTCCAAAGTTACAGAGCGGATACCTACCATCCTCCAGGGCTTCGATGACATGATCTAGCACCATGATAAACATGGCCGACACCTTGGGATCTTTGCTTAATCTGGAATCTAGGAAGCAGGTTGCGGGCACGGATTGAAGGGCGCCACTGCTGGTGGTCCAGATCTCAAACTGCATGCGGTAGGCCATCACCTGGCCCATAGTGATACCGTGAACAGCACCATGGCTTCGAGCGATGGAAAGAGAAAGTCGCTGGAAAAGGCGGATACATGCTCGGGCTTTGTCCGCGATCGGGGACGCCGGGGACGCATCGGAAAGCACTGAATTCTGCTGCATTGGAAGGTCTACTTCGTATAGTGATACGTACCCTGCAAGTCGTTAGCGGTATCTATATAGAGGTAGATAGATCCATTGAAGAAAGATATCAATTTGTTAACTCAGGATCTATAGCTTACCAGATGGTTTTGCTGTATGACGATGTCGTAAAATCACTACATTGACGAAGGTTAGGCGGGAAGGTGAGGAGGATACCTGTATACAAGACTAGATGCTGGGAAGAAGGTGCGGGCCTCAGACGCCCTCCCAACAAGAGAAAGTGCGATGTTATACCTCAGTAAGAGAAAGGTTAAGTAGAGAGATGAGGAGGTCATCTATAGTTAAGAGGTGGCGGGGAGAAGGTGCGGGCCTCAGGCGCCCTCCCAATAAGAGAAAGAGTCATGTTGTAAATTTACTAAGATAAAGATAAAAGTTAAGTGCAAAGATGAGGAGGTCATCTATAGTTCAGAGGTGGCGGAAAGAAGGTGCAGGCCTCAGATGCCCTCCCAATAAGAGAAAGAGTGACGATCTAAATTTCCTCATATATTTAGCCCTAGAGGATGGATGTTATAAAACTTACCATCCCCATAGTATTATCTTACCTTTCAATCCTTCATTTTATATCTTGTCTAGGTATTTTTCTTCACCCTTTCTATTTCGTATTTATTATAAAAGCATATCGCAGCTTTCTATTCCATCTCCTTACCTTCTTAGATACCTGTGAGCACGCCTTTAAACGTCTCTCGCAGCAACCAGGAAAAATGAGTGGGCTAGAGGTCGCCGGGCTAGCTTTGGCCGCCTTTCCGCTGCTGATTTGCTGCTACGAGAGGTATCACGATGCGGCCGGCGGCTTCCATACTTTTGTGGGGATCAAAGAAGAGTACAGAACCTGGATCGCCAACCTCAACGGGTCTAAACTGGCACTTGAAACAAGTGTAAAGATAGTTTTACTCTCCCTAGGTATGGATCGCAATCTGGTTCAGGAACTTTTGAACAACCCAACAGGTCAGTCAGCCTTAGAAAGCATGTGAACCTTGGACCTTTTGAAATCAACTGATGATAACATATGGAAATGGAGAAAAAGGGACTCAATTGCGGGACCCAGAGCTAAAAATGCGTCTCAAAGAAAGCCTGTCGGAGTTCTATCCTCACTACGTTGAGAAAATTTACCAAATCCAGAGGGTCATGGCCGAGGTTGGTCAAGCTCTCGGGGTCAATGATCTGGGTTTTCAGGCTCAGATCTCAGAAAACGTAAGCACACATCTATATAATAAAATCTTTCCATCTTAACATGCAGCACTGATACTGGATCACAGATAACCGAGGGACCGGCGCCGAATGCCACATCTATTAGACTGGCCCGCCTGAAATTCCAAGCTCGACGGGTCTGGCTGAGCGTACACAAGAAAAACGCGAGAACCTCTTCGATCGGCTTAAGAAGGAAATCGGGAGGCTACGCAATATGCTTGAAGACAGAGATAAGCTCGTAAAGCAATACCGGGGCCGCCCTGCCCTTGGTATAGCCGCAAACATCGGGCCCATATGGAAATACTCACATCACTCGGACAGTTTGTACAGGCTCTTAGCTCGATCATGGCTCTGCGAGTGTAAGCAGTCCCATCAAGCCTATCTCCGCCTCCAGCACATGGAATCTCCAACCCTGGACTTTCGAATGATTTTCCTGTCCGGAAAGGATAGTGGGGCCTTAGAATCACCGTGGGTCTATCAAGAGGCTAGTATCAGGGTGCTAGAGCATGGCTTGAGGATAGATTCCGCCGTGCGCTCCGCCCCAAGCCCCATTGCGTTCCCTTCTCCTGCACCCACCCCAACTGGTACCACACCCGCTGGCATCTCCAACTCGCCACAGCCCCTGCAATGCGAGCGAACGAAGCTAGCGGTCGAGAGGGAAGAGAGGCCACCGCTAGAACGATGGTCAATATCACCAACCCCAACCTTTGTGATGGGATATCTAGATTGTCCAAAAGCGCCGATGGCAACCAGTTCTTTTGCTTCCAAGATGCCCATTGCTGCGTTACGCTAAGCCCACTATGCCACTCGAGGTTGCCTGCGACTAGATCCTCCGTCACCCCTAGTACTATCTCACTAGCGGCCCTGTTAGCCAAGGACTCGCCCATGAAGCCGACGCGGCGAGAGCTCTTCACCATCGCCCTAATTCTAGCATCGTCCTACCTGCAGCTCAAGTCATCGCTCTGGATCAACCCCCGATGGAGCAAGCACGACATCGCCTTCTTTTGGGATGGGAAAATCCAAACTCCATCCAATTGGACCAGCCGTACATCGCGCATCGTTTCGAGGGCGCCGAAGGCGCAGATGACGCGGGAGACGGCGATGCCAGACTTGGACAGCCCATGGTCCCGGTGGGCCATGCTGATCATACACTGAAGTGTCTGGGCATTATGCTTCTGGAGCTTTGTTTCGGAGAGGCGATAGAGGAACAGGACATATATAGGAGATACAACGATCCGTCGGGAGAACCAAGCGCCAGAACAAAACTAAGCCGCGATATCTTCACGGCGTTCGACTGGGTGCTTTCGGTGCCGGACAACGCTGGGGCTAAGTTTGCAGGTTCAATTGAGTGGTGTTTGGAAAAGATACCTCCAGGTAGAGAATATGGTGGTGAGAGGCTCGACCAATGGTGCAGCGAGATGTTGGACAATGTTGTCTTGCCACTCAAGTTTTATCTCCAACTGTGTGTGCGTTAAGCCTCGGAGCTCAAGCGTTGCCATTGCTTTCATCCCTTTCCCAATTGCTTTGATCCATTTCCCAGTACTTGGAGAACGACAATTACTTTACAAGAAGCGGACTTTATTATTACTAGGGGACTGCGTTAGCCTGACAAGGCGGACAGTCTGGGTCCAAAGTGTACATCCATCAATGTATTAATCAGCACTATTTTAGTGTAAGCGAACTGGGAGGCAAGCTATTTTTCCTTGCTCATCACATCAGCCTTTGAATCAGCTTTTTTCCCCTGAATACTTATATTATTGCAAAGACCTTCATCTTCAAGCGCCATATTGCCCGTATCCCTGTGCTGATCTTCCCGCGCGGATTGTGCATGCGCTGGGCGCTTAGAAGAAATGGTGGGCTATAGTGAGCAAACTTCTAGTTCAACGTTCAATTGACTCACATTCCAATGTCAACCTTTGACGGCATCGTGTCCGAGTTTCCAGAGATTCGAGGTCTGCTAAGCCTAGTTTCGCCTCTACGCCTGCCTAATCATCTTCTTGTCCCTGACTGACATGGTGGTAGTGGACTTTTTCCGTTATAACCCCAATCGTCCCCGACCACTGGCGTGTTTTCTGAGCCACGTTCACAGCGATCACCTGGCAGGTCTTGAGACCCTCAAGTCCCCATTGTACGTGTAATAGATCGAGTGGGATCGTAGATCAGTTCCATGTTGCACGTGTTATAAAACATACATAGATTAATCTCTCCGTGTCCGTACTTTCAGTGTCTATTGTTCAGCAGCGACGAAGGAGATTCTCCTCCGTCTAGAGCGGTATCCATGTCGAATAAACCACGCAAAAGGGGTTCTCGAGGCGAGGGTGCAAACTTACAAACATCTGAAAGCCCTCCTAGTAAGCATTTGAGCCTCCCAGCCCTAGAGAAACCGAGGCGCGACTAAAGTAGCTGTGTTAATACTGTCGTGTCTCTTAGAAACCTATCCCTCTGGAAACCCCGACCAAGCTAGAACTGAAGCCCGGGGTCAATATTCAAGTCACGCTCTTTGACGCAAACCACTGCCCAGGGGCCGTCATGTTTCGTGAGTCTAGGTCGCGCGTATATAGCGTATCGTCACGCCCTGGTGCCTGCGTACTGACGAGGGGGCTTAAGTTTTCGAGACCGACACAAAGGCAGTGCTGTATACCGGCGATATGCGGAGCGAACCTTGGTTCGTCGGGAGCATCGCTAGAAACCCGAACCTCATAGAGTACACTAGCGGGATCCGGACTCTGGATAAAATTTACCTCGATACGTCCTTTACGAGCAGCGTTCCCTTTCAGACCAAGGCGGAGGGTATTTCCAAGCTTCTACGGACGGTATCAAGGTATCCGGACGATACAGTCTTCCATCTACGAGCCTGGACATTCGGGTATAGCAAGAGTCCCATTGCAGCCGTGTTTTTTCCAAATTGAGAAGCTAACATCACCGCCAGATATGAGGACGTTTGGGTTTCACTTTCGCGGGCTCTCAAGTCCAAGATACACGTTGACGAATACAAGATGCGGATATACTCTTCGCTCACGACTCGTCTTGCTGACCGAAATCGCGACGAGCTTTGTTTCCAGATGACCTCAGAAGCCGCCGCGTTGACGGGCTTTGTGTGCGGTAACACGCCCCATCCTGGCTGCCTGACGCGGGATGAGAACGTGCGACTGCATAGTTGCGAGAAGGGCAAGTATTGCGATGTGGTCAAGACCTCGGATGTGGTTTGGATATGTCCCGTAGTGGCCCACCTGTCGGATGGGGAAGATTTGATCGAGATGGGAGTGGGCGGCGGCGGCGATGATCTGGAGAGGGAGGTCGAGCTTGGGAATATGCCGGCGGAGGAGGTAGACGTTTTGATGGAATTGTCAGTCAACTCACCCGGTCATCCCTTCTAACTCCCTGTCACAGATACCTAACAGGAAAATAGAATAAGTCGAGACCGCGATATTTCGCCGGATGCCAAAGCGGACGTTCGGCGTGTTTTGGCCGACAAGTCTAGAAACGGGCTTCCCATCGCTCTCAATCTGGACTTCTCCTCGTTTGGAGAGGGAAATGAAATGAGCCTTCACAAGGTTGTCCAGTCGATATCCAGGATCCCCAGCCCCGCGAAGCTGTGCTTCGACCACAGGGCACCTCCGCTGCCAAACTCCCGCGGAGAATCCGATTCCCCTACTCGAGACATTCCTCGTATCCTGAACTGTGCCACTTTGTGGAAACTTTTAAGCCGAAAGACGTGTGGCCCTGCACGGTCAACGAACAGGAATGGATTTCAAAAGGTGACGCAGAAAGCCCGTGAAAAGCAAGTGAGGGAAGCCGCAAGTCTAATCATGGTGGCTTAGGGATCTGTATTGAATCACTGTTTGGGCGATACTGCACTGGGAACGCCTTCGAGCACGACCTCAAGATGGAGCTGCTCGAGCCGCAACTAAGCACACACGTGCCCTCAGAGTCCCAGAGGTCTCAAACTCGCGAGAGCCAACAGAGCACCGCATCGCTCGTGAGCGAGCGTGTGGACGCGCCACCAGCACTCGGGGGTCGCTCTCATCCAGGTAGTTTCGCCGAAGCCGGGAGGTCGTTGCACAGGCCTGTCGAAATCTCCGACGACTCACACGGTGGAAGGGGTTCGCAGGAGGATGATGTCGAAATGGCCGGTGACCAGCATCTCACGGCCTGCTCACAGCCAACCGAGACGAGCCAAAGTTGTGCGGAAGTGACGAGTTCATCATCCCAGGACTCGACTACCTTGCCAAGATCACCAGAACCGTCTCGAATGCGCATGGATGCCTACAATGCGATGCTGGGGAACTCGTCCGGCGGTGAAGGACAGGTGTGGGAGACGGTGGGATTAATTTCCGTAGCACACAACCATACGCATGTGGAAACTGAGTTGGGGGATGGCTAGCAAGCTTATTCCCTAGAATGATGCAATATTATACTCCTCAAGTTCATGTGCACCGAATACTTGTAACCGATTCAGGGGATCGCACCACGGCTTGGATTGCCTCGAGGAGGTCGTCCGTTCCAGTGTTCATAGAATTTGTTTTCGGCTACGAAAGGAGTATCACATTTGATATGCTCAGGCGGGAAAGGGCCGCTCGGCAATGATGTGAGCCAGAGGCGGGGATGGAGAGTTCACCAGGTGCTTGCGTGCTCAAAGCGACATCGTGACGAATTATGCTTCACATGGTGCAGGACGTCAGATATGACCAACTTCATACATCCCGGACGGAATCATGGGCGGAAGAGGGATTCTCGTCATAACGGTCGAGTGTATCCTGTAGATCTCACCCTGTGTACCTTGGTATTGGGAAGGGGTTGTAGGGGTTTGGGTGCGATTGGGATCCTTTGATCAGCGTGGTTGGGACTCTCAACCCAGCCTTGAAGACCAAGGGAAGGGCGAGTGGGGGCTGGACCTGTTCCCTCTCGCGTGGCCAACGATGTCAATAACACGAATCTTTCAAACGAGCATGATAGTATCGATACCGTGGCCAAGGCTAGCGAGGCCAAGAAGAATATATTAGACCTGTTTTTGTGGTGAAGCAGACGCCTCTACCTCCCGTTTTGGGCAAAGGGGAGATGGAAACCAGAGGCCGGCCCGAGAGAAGGGAGCTCAGTCGAACTCTCTTCTGAGCGAGAGAAATCCGAGAGAGGCCCGATCATGGGGTAGGATCCTAGGCGCCACATTTCCATCAGACGAAGCTCAAATTTTCCTGTCCGAACCGTTCGGGGATGACAAGATCCCTGTGGAAGGATGGCTGCGCCGGCCATGAAACCGGGCTCAGTGCACTAACTTGGGGGAAGCAGGCCTGCGCTTCTTGTGCGCTCGGTCGGGAAGCGACGATCCTGACGTGCCATTCCTGGGCGAGTAATGGGGAACTACTTCCTCGCAGTAGGACGGCTGGTGGCGTAAAAAAGGCCAGGGTCTGGATCACCTTCGCAGGAGGCACGGGCTTCCATACAGTGACTATGAAAATTGATGAAAGCTTCTACGGTTGTCATTTCCCGTCAGAGATACGCAATGGCGTTTGGGTAATAGACTTTTCTCAAGGTTGCCACTGCTGATGGGGATCCAGTGTCAATGTTTAGTGGGAGGGTCTGAGAGAGCGCACTTTTCCCGCTCTGGGGGCTCTTTCCAGCCACAGATCGCTTTGGCGATTGGGCAATTTCCAGGGGGAAGGGGCCAGGGGCATCGAAATGGCTTCACCCTCCAACCCGGTGAAGGAAGGAGCAGTGAGGCCCAGGTTGTGGCAAGGAAGGCCCTTGGAGACAAACCCAACCGTCCAAGGCGTCCACAACGAAGTACTTCCTCTCGAGGGACCTCAGAAGGGCTTGAGCCTGCTGGATCCATTGTACGAAGTACGAAGTCATAATGCACTTCATCTCAAAAGCTAACAACGACTGGGGCGGACAATGTTTTAGTTCGGCACTAGAGGCAGTCCGGTCCACGCTAAGTTACCCGAGAACACTCTGTTTGAGCCCTAACTTTAAGGAAGTGGATTGGTCTATGGATCCCTCATCCACTAGATGGGTTGTTGGGATATCCATCACAGCGTGAGGACAGCCGAAAGAAAATTAGGCGATGTTCGGTCCGGCTGGTGGTGCGTCTCGAGGCGCGCGAGATGTCCACTAGCAACGACCTGGCTCCTCTACCGTCATTTTCCTCCAAGGGTGAGCGAAGCTTCTTTCGCATTGATCTAGAATGGCTCCTTGGTAATAAAAGAAAAACAAATAGGAAGAGAAAAAATCCCCCAAAGATTGCCAAACTTGCAGTCAAGGGTATCTGGACCAATCGTTGCTTGGGGGTTACTAAAGGCCTTATACCTTCAACAACCTGCCGCTCGTCCCTGTGACTGGGAGTTGAACCGAACATTGAGGTGACAGGGGAGGCCTGGCCCCGCAGTGCCTGCGGTTCTTGTGGCCCTGATATGAAGCCACAGAAGGGCGGAATATCGAGGTGCTCCCTGGTGATGTGATGCTCAATCAATGGATCGCTTACACCAGCCTCGCTCGTCCTTCGCTCGAGCTCGATGACTCCTCCTCAGCCCACATGGTTATCACGGAGAATTCGAGTGTCGTGCCGGGCATTCAGGCCCTCGACTTATTAGGTGAAGGTCGGCGTGACGTTTGATGCCGGTTCAGTGACGCTTAACTGGTACGGTACCCGCAGCCCCGAGAGATCGTTGGTAGCGGAGATCGTCGTCGGCCTCGTTGAGCCAAGACAATTGTGATGCAACCAGGTGTTGTAAGCGGAGATGGGAGAGTTCCTCGGATCCGATTTCCGCTTAGCCTTTCCTCGCATCGCTTATCCTTTCTCTCTTTCTCTGCACTCTAATATTAATACTTGGACAGCAGCACGGGATACTCTCATCTCTAAAGTACTCATTCATCTGTATGGATTATCAGTGTACAAGTACGAAATACCTTGGTATCCCGTCCGGCTTGATCCCTGAGTGCGTCAAAGCATCAGTGATCTTGACAGGTATCACCGCTGCAAGCCTAGTCCCCCGCCCGAAACTAGCGTGGGCCAAACCCCTTCTGAATAGCGTTACATAGCTTCAAGCCTGGCCAGGCTGGAAGAGGAGAAGAGGAGATGATCATTATTCCAGTGCAAACCGCCCAGCGTTGCAGTCGCAAGCGACAGGGGGCTGATCAACTCCCCGCGACACTATTGGGTCCGATAAAAGCTTGACTTGACCCACAGCACCACGCAGACGTCCGAGCACCAGTCTTATGTGCTGTTGGGCTCAGGGTTGTTGATTCTCTGATATTCCTCTCGTTCATCAGGGAGCGGCGATATTCGACAACTACAAGTATTTACTTTAGGGAAGCAGCGGTTTTCAATATTCGGATCAATTTTTACTCTTACATGAACTGCCGTCCTAGGAATGCGCCTTGTCTCTTTGGCCCTCGAACAAATGTCCCTATAGATCACGTATTCTTTTTATCTCTCGATACAAAATTCGCCGAGGTTCCGATCCAGGTGTGGCGATGACAGAGCATCGCAGAATACACCAACAACGAAGAACGAAAGGCCCTCACATTTGAGTAGGTATAATAAGGCGAGTGTAGCATTCAAAGACCAAAAGAGTGAGCCACATTCGCTTCCAGAGAAGGGACTTAACAGTTGGGACGGCACAAGACGTGCGCTGTGACCCTTCTCCCTTCCCGCGCAAACCTCTGACGTGTGAGAGTTTTGGCGAGGATGCGGGAAGGAGATGGAAGAGTGGATCGCGCGGCACGCAAAGCTCATCGCGCCATTTGGAGGGTAGAGGCATTGCCTGGCTCTCGACAAATACAGTCCGCTCGCCTCGGTTCGAGCTACAAGAAACAATCCAAGCTTAACAGACAGATGAAATATCTACACTGCACTCTTCACGACGCACGAAACGGCACGGTAGTGCACGACACATCGACAAAGGCCAGCCACAGAGTTGCGATCAGACTGACTCTGGCCAAAGAAAAGTGTCCTCGTAGATGGTCATTGCGAAGCCTACGGATCAATCAACGTGATAGGAGTAGCGCAAAGAATAAAATGATGGCAAAGTATTCCCTAAACCAGAATCGAGTAGACCTGTACTTCCCACCGGCGGGATAGAGAGGACAGCCCCGGTGGCACCCTGTGGCGGAATTCCCCAATCTTGGGCAATCCTTCGTCGATCGAGATACGCTGTGACCCTCTTTGCCCCAGCACTAACATCACCATGGCATGAAGAGCCAGCATGGGTCCAAAACGAGGCATTGTGCCGCCGCATCGACGATGACTTATCCATCACCTCCCTCCTCCCCCTCTTCTTTGAATTCCTGGATTTCGTTGCGCTCCCCATATTGGTATTATACTTGTACCTAGCCACGAGCTTGCATCGTTTTGCGCAACCCGCCAATCATCCTGACTAGCCATCCCGACAGGGTCTGGAACAGGTGCGTGCGCGCGGCCGGGAGAGCGGGCTGGCTGACTCCTGTTGCTTGAGATCCCGCCCGACAGACACATCCATCCTTCCGACTTGCGTTTGGTTGCGGAAACCAGACCTATTGCCGAGCTGAGGGTGATGAAAAGGGGCCATTTAGAAACGAAATATTGATAATAAAGGAAAAATAAGTAAAAATATGGAGAAAGACACAGGAAGCGAAGTCAGAGCCGGTTTGCACCACCCCCAGCTCCGTGTTGGTGATTCGGCAATGTGATTGCATCGTTAGCTCGCGTCCTCGCCTCGAGGCAGGGGCATCTAAAGCAAGATTCGCTGAGACAAAGCTCGTTTATCTCTTTTGACTTTTCCGCTCATCTACCCTCCCTTGTTCCTTTCCCAATTTGACGGACCTCTTGTCTACTCTTCGTTTCTTCCTCTCTCAGCGCGAAAGCGGCGGCGGAACGCAACGAGCTTGTCGCACTAGCCGTAAAGCTCAGACCCTAACAGTCACCAACCCGCTGATCTGAACCTAATCCGCCACTCAAGGATGTTTCCCTCCCAGCGGCGAACAGAGCCCACCAAACTGGAAGAGGGGGAGGTACAGACCAGAGTTGTCGCTGATTTGGCGCGGGACGATATCCTAGCCCGCCTCTCTGGTCCAAAAACCCTTGAGCGCTGAGAAGCTGCCCCCTCGGCGCAGCTCAATCAGGATTAGTGTGCACGGACGGGCGATGCCATGACAATCCGGGGTGTCCCCTGAACTCAAGCCATTGTTCCCATGCGGCGGAGGAGGGACGAGGGGGAAAAGCTGTTTGACATGTTGCCTCGTTGGCCGCGCCGGGAAAACGGATGTATTCCAGACGTACCCCAGGAAAGCTCTGCTTGCACTTGACGGCCACAGAGGGGACGGGACGGGCTGCGAGGATGGGGAGGATGGGGATAAGGATGGTGTGGGCAAGAGTGTGAGAACTTTTTTCTTCTTTCCCCGAAAGTTTCGGGGAATGACAGCTCGATGGCCCGGCCGTCTGACACTCTAGAAGAGGTTGGTGGCTTTTTCTTCGCCCTCCTCTCCACCTGCATGGAATAGAGATTCTGTTTTTTGAGACTATCTAAAAGGTAATAGACACAAGCGACTATAGGAACCCTCATGGAAAAAGCGTTTCCCTGGTCTAGTCGAGGAGCACAGGTGTCAGACATGCACCACCTCGCGAAGTCTAAGTTGGATCCCTGAACGACGACTGCACCTTGTCGAGGCCTGGCACCAGGTAGCGAGGATCAAAAGTGTAGTCCAAGTTCTCGACCCCCTTCCTGTCACCCCTAGTCTGAGATCCCCAGATCTACCTTTTTCTTCTTCTTATCCTTCTTATAACTACCCCAGCCCACCTCGCCATCGAAGATCATTCCTCTCCTTGCTCGCCATCCCGCTCGCATTCCTGGCAGAGTGCGAAAGGATAGAAAAAAAAGCTCTTCAGCTCCGCCTTGCCTTGTCGTGTTGCTTCACACGCTTTCACCGTTCTCTCTTCATTTTCATTTTTCCCCTTGGACGTATTTTGCAGCAATCCCTTTGGTCTCGGTCGGCCTCCGACTGCTGCACGCCAAGCCCGCCATGGCAACCGCTGAACTGCCCGTCAAGGGCCAGTATCCCGAGCTTGATGCCGAGACGCGAGTCCCCATTCTCGTCGGCATTTCCATAGCCTTTGCGCTAGCTTCAACCATCGCCGTCTTGCTGAGGCTCTATACCCGTACCTTCATTCTCAGGACGCTAGGTTGGGATGATGCGACCATTGCTTTTGCTCAGGTATGTGTATCCCCGTGTGGCGCAAAACAAAATTCGGAGGTCGAAACTTTTCCCTTGAGTGAAGTCGTGTTGACAGGGTTCCGTCGTCCCAGGTTTTGTCTATCGGAGTGTCCATCATCACTATTCTTCGTAAGTCGCCCAGAAAACTCCCTTCTTCTCCCAATGGTTGGCCAGGGCTAGATTGCTAATGACCAGAGTAGAGGCCAAGTATGCTCTCGGCATCCACGTATGGATGACCACTGAAGATGGCAGCATGGATCAGCTCAAGGTGGGAGAAACAGCTTCACCCCACATACCATTGTTGCAACCAACTAACTCTGGGAAACAGGCTCTCTTCGCCGGCATGGTTATCTATAACCTGTCGCAAATCGTCACCAAAATCTCCTTCCTCCTCCAATACCGCCGCATCTTCGAGGGCCGGACCCGCGTCGTCTCCCTCATCCTTCTCATCTTTCTCGCTGCTTGGGGCGTTACCCAAGAGGTTCTCGTCGGCATGTCGTGCATACCCGTGGCCATCTTCATCCCCAGCCAGGCGGACAAGTGCATCGACGCTCTGACTGTGTGGTACTTAACGTCCATCATGAACATCGTCACCGACTTCATGGTCTTCGCCACTCCCATGCCCGCCGTCCGGAAGCTGCGCTTGAAGAGGAAGAAGAAGTTGATGGTTCTCTCCATCTTTGGTCTCGGTTTCTTGTAAGTGTACCCCCGCTCTGAAGCTTTGGCTGTGCGAATTTCTACCACTCGCGCTGTATCTTGCCCCGACCTGTGAAACTTACTGACCGTGGCCGCATCCGGAAAACAGCACCTGCGTCATCTCCATCGTGCGCCTCTTCACCCTCCGCAGCGCCATCAATACCCAGGACCCGACCTGGGATAACGTCCCTACCTCGTACCTCACCGTCGTGGAACTCAACTGCGGTATCCTCTGCGCCTGCCTGCCCACCCTCAGGCCCCTCATCCGCAAGCTGTTCCCCCGCCTTCTCGCCAACGAGGAGACCAACAACACCCCCAACAAAGCGGTACCGGACTGCCACCCACCATTGGCGGCACGGGCGGCGAGTCGCGCAGGGGAAGCGCAGCAAGCCCGCCGACATCTACACCCTCACCGAAATCACGCACTCGGGGAGCGCCGAGGCCCTCAAGGAGAACGCTGCCACCTACGAGGGCAGCGAGTACGCTAACTATCCCGGCAAGAATACGCGCCTCACCACATCTATCTACGGCCGGAAAAGCGGAGCCCAGCCCAACAGGGGCCATGGACAGGCTATCGAGGTTACGACTGAGATTGGCATGGAGGAGTCTACCAAGTCGGTCAACTCTTCGATCCGACATCACACCTAAAGCCTGATCAAGGCCTGGGTAAACAAAAGAAATCCAAAGCGATTGTATGAATGAAATGAAAAAAGAGAGGCAGAGAGGTGAGGAGAGGAGACGATATGCATGGGCTATGTGGTCAGTATATGTACACGCGTGTGTGTGCGTATACGTTTGTGAAATCTTGCAACTGTGCGATTATGAATCAGGAAGGCGAAGGGTGCTGTAACGGCCGAAACCAATGAACCGATTGATACCAACACACGATGCCCAAAAGGCGGGGCATCGGGGTGGGCGAGAGGCAGGATAGTCTTTCCAGCAATGGAAGTGGCCTCGAAGAGTGTGTGCAGATGAGAAACATCTTGATGAAACGGCCTATCGACGAAGATTTCTAGTGCGCAATTCCGCCGCGCACATGGAGGCAAAGACAAGCGCCCTTTATGGGAAGGGTATCTGTCTTTTAGTCTTTAAAACAAATCAGCTTCTGTATATATATATACCTTGTGGCTTTTACTCTTATGAAACAGGATTTTATTCTCCGCTTGCGTGTGCTAAAGTCCTGTCCTTCCCCCTTGATACACGGCTCTCTGTCCCCGGCTCCTTCATAAAGGAGAAATTTACTTCGGTGTTGTGTAGAGCCTATAGAACTCCTAAGTGCGGGATTAGCTGTTCTGAGATGAACCTTGCACGCAGATGTCTTCGATTATGTTTTCAAGCGCATCCTCTTCAGCCAGCACCTGCTTTGGTTCGGCAGAACGTGGAACTTATTATCGCTGATTGGGTTTATGTTCCAAGCACCTAATTTTCCGTATATAGTTATTAAAAACTCAATAGAGCGACTTGGGCTGAAGATAAGCCGAATCCCTTGATGAACAACTCGATTCGGGACCGGCGCCGTTTCGGGGGTTGGTGTTCGGCGCGGCCAAGACTGCCCCGGAGTGGGGCCGGCCGGTGGAGAAACCAAGCAAGGCGACTGACACGGTGTGGTGCAACGCAAATCCCACCTGGTGCGTCTATTCCCCCAGCGGTAAGGTTCAGCATAAGTTTATTTTAGCATTCAAAGCTAAATATACACGTTTCTCGTTTGGAGACGAGTCTTTAAAAGTGAAGACATCGTCGTAGAGACGAAAGGTGATAGCATCGTTGCTTAGGCAATCACCTGGCCTCGTGTCGGAGCTCGTGGCTTGAAATTGGGTGGAGCAGGATGACCTCTAAGATATGGGTTATTTTTGACAGCCAAGCCATAATTATAGATAATCTTTCCTCCAGCCTCGGGAGATTCGACGGGAATATACGACATGGGCCATCATTGATCGACAAAGGGGATATTCTGGGGTCTTGTCCAGGCTTTGCAACGGAGCATTGCTCCAGGTGCCTCATTGGGAGGCTCAAGATTCCGCTTTTGGCCTTCGCTTGCCTGGCAAACCTGGGTGCATAACTTGCCAAAATGACCTCAGGAGGGCCTGTCTGGTACGACTGCCGAGAAAGAGCTGCCAGGTCTGTCTCGGATCCCTGCTGGGAATCCCTCCCCGCCTACCTCGTATTATACCTGCAATCCAAGAGGGTGATCACTCCCGCCAAGACAATGAACCAAGCACCCTGGAAGAAAGTTGGCGCGAAAGAACTATGCTCGGAAAGATGGAGAGTAATTCCAGCCTTCCGAGCCTCCTTTTCCAGACGCACTAATACTTGCACTTGAAAATAGAAGGCTGAACCCCTTCCCCCTCCCCCTTGCCCCCTTGCGCGGGAGTTCGTATCCCGAATTTGGTTGAAGACTCTTCAAATTAGCCCCTAAGGGCGGGTTGCCCTGGTACTCGGCCGGGTGGTCTCCGATTCAAGTAAGCATCGGTCGGCCTCGGATGATTACTTGTTGTCTAGACCAAATGCTGTAGTGCTGCTTGCGAGCTCGCTGCCAAGGAGACCCGAGGAAAGTGAGCGCATGGGTGGCAACTTGGTCAATCAAATCTTAAATGCCTCAATTCGCAACGGTTAACTCTCACTGAGCACGGAGTAGCCATGGGCCTCTTGATACAGAATGATGTCAAGTTCAGGCATCCTCCCCTGGCTGTCTCGTATCACCGTAGAACGCAAACGATGAGAGCACGCTTGGCGTAGTTGAGCAAGATTCTGTCAGAGATACATGATTAGAGGCTTGAGCCTACACGCGACGGGAACCTAGGATATCGCAAAGGCAGTCGCGTAACCTTACTTTTGAGGTTCTCGGCAACAATACTAAATTGGCCAAGTTGTGACTCGAGAAGGGCTCGAGGGTGGCGTGAACAACTACCGGAGGCGGGCGGTGGGGGATTAAGCTCTCACGCGTCTCCTGCAACTGCAGCACCGTTGGAAGGAGAAGGAACCCCCAACTTCCCTAGGCTCTGCATAGGGTGCACGTCCATCGCCGGAATGTGTTTGGCCTTCTCTCATTCTCGCTCAAGCAGATCTACACAATGTCCCTAGGTTTCTTTCCCCCAAAACTGAAAGGAGCGGCATCGTCCAACCAGAACAGGTGTAAAATGAAAGCCAAGATATGGAACCTCATTCAATTGGATGCTTGATTCCGTTTTGGGCGGGAACACGAGGTTGGTCACCCGCCCCTCCCCTCTCCCCCATCACACACCACGCCCATCCACACCAAGACAACGGCGGCCATGCCACCAGCTGCAGGGATAGGACTGAACAAGCATTGGGCTGCGGGATGCAGGTGGAAAGTGGGTTTTCTCCTGGACCAAAAGACATCGGTTTGCTTGGGCCATTGGTTTTTCGGGTCCTGATGTTTTGGGATTTTGTAATCTTGAGCGGGAAATTGCAAGTCGTGAGGATGCAGACTTTGGTCATGTCCTCGAGAGCGTTTGTTTAACTGACGTCGCTGCTACCTTGCGTGTCAAAGGGATTGATGGATATCCTCGGGACAGGCAGGTAATAACTGGGGATCCCTTTGGTCTAAAACTAATACCGCTAGGGTCCATTTTCGCGACGATCGCCCCCGGAGAGATTAGAAATTAACGGCTTCGAGACTGGGTCTCACTCTGACTACACTATGACGGCAATTTCGTCGAGACCTGCCGTAACATGCAAAGGATAGCGGCTTCTAGATCCTTTGCATTTCCTCCCTTGGGCTTTCTTTTTCCTGTCATTTTCCTTTTTATTTTTGTTTTGTTTTATATTTATTTATTTTCCTCTTCCTCGTCTTCGTTATTTGGCAGCTGGCGGACTCGGGTCATCCACAGTTGGTGAGCCAGGGTTGGTGAGGAGAAGCCCAGGCGAGCGGCAAAGAGGAGAAGGGTTGGCGTCTTGGCAGGGCGTGGAGTATGGAATGGGAAGGCCTCGATGGATGTCGCTATGGCTGGATCGTCACTGAGGAGCGCCCGTGAGCACCGCGCTTGGGCCAGACCTGGGGACGAGAACAGAATGAAGGATCCGAAAAAGAAAAGTAGACGGGTTAGAAAAGCAACAAGTCGAGTGAGCACAAAGTCGGAAAAGGAAATCGTCAAACCCAGGCCTTACCAAAGTGAGCGAAGGAGAGGAAAGAAGCCCATTCGCATAAAGGGTCTGTGATTGATGCCAAGGCATGAATACGAGGGAGACGGTGGTGTGGTTGACCAATGGAGTCAACCCACCCTCTGGGGTAGGGACCCCTGCCCTCGCTAGAGAACGGACGAATCTTTGACCGACACACACGGTCATGAGTTGCTTGTTGTTTTTCTTCTGAGCCATCCCTCCTGCGTGCTGATGGCTGGGACGCAAAGACAACAAGAAACCAGGGTTGGGCTGGGTGATGGAAGATAGGGCGAGGGCAAGTTGGGTTGCCTCGTACTTCGTACGAAGTACTTTGATTAGGGCGTGGAGAAGGAAGGGGAGAGCCAGCATCCAAAAAAGAAGGAGGCACATACCACACACAGGCGCCTTCCGCTTTCTCCATATAAACGCAGGTTTCCCCGTCGTGCATCTTGAGAAGAAAAGAAGGAACCATCGAGCATCGCAAGATCGTCAACTTGTATATACAATACATCCCTAATACCTACCAACTCACCTAAAGTCAATCGCTTTTTTGCTTTTCAACAGCCCACCCTTCTTTCAAAATGAAGTCCTTCGCTACCGTTGCCACCACCCTCGCCCTGTAAGTGTTTCTTGTCGTTGGTGTAAGACCATGATCCGGTCGTTCAAAGCTAACACGCGATGTCTTGACAACAGTACCGGCGCTGCTGTCGCTCTCCCCGGAGGCGGTAACCACCAGCACACTACCGTGACCGTTGGCCCATCCGAGCCCGTCCCCACTCAGACCGGATGCCCCACCGTCACCGCCACCGGCGAGCTGTGCGCCTCGTGCCCCATCCCCGCCTGCCTCGTGATCAGCACCATCACTCAGAGCTGTGACTGCCCGGCCGCCATCCCCACCGTCACCCTCGACTTCCCTTGCAAGGACAACTGCAAGGGCCTCTTCTGCACTACCTCGTACGAGACTGTCGCCGAAGTGTGCGAGCCCACGGAGACGGAGACCTGCACCGATCTCCCCACCCCCACCGACGAGCCCTCGGAGACTTGCACCGATGATGAGCCCCAGCCCACCGAGACGTGCGATGATGACGAGCCCACTGAGCCCACTGAGAGCTGCCCGGATGAGCCTGCTGAGCCCACCGAGACCGACGGGCCCGATCCCACCCTTTGCAAGGGCAACTGCACTGGCCAGCCCACCCGCACCGGCACCAAGGGCCCCGAGCCCACTGGCGAGCGCCCCCTACTGTCAACGCGGCGGCGGGCGCCTTCGGCTCCGTATGGAGTGTCGGCTGGCTCGCTCTTGGCGCTCTCTTCCTCTAAGCGAGGATTGGGCGTGCTGGATGTTTCGAGTCATGGATTATGATAGCCTTTCCTCATTTTTCTCTTCATATTACCCCCTTTTTAGTCTTTAATTCTTTCGCGAAGAGTTTCCATGTATATTCTCGCACTTCTTCTAGATGGTGGTTTGGAGGAACTTATAATTTTCCGCGTCCGGAAGGATGGCGTATGGTTTTCTGACACGTTGGATGGGTCTACGTGCTTCACGTTTATGCCGCTTAATTCATATTTCAATACAAAGGCTGTTGAGCCCCGTTGATGACGGCCATTCTGCTTGGTCGAATCGATGAGCTTTTTCAGAGACCATACGCCTTCACTGATTGACCTGATGCTTCAAATCGTTATTTCTCTCATTGCGTTGCCTCACGCCTTGTTGTTATGCTCCCGGGACTCACTTGTCGTTGTCCTGTCCAAAAACCCACAAGCCAGCGCCCGGATCTGTGTACATCTGCGCAGGTTCCCGCCTATCGATCATAATTCCATCGTTCTTGAGACTTGTCTGACCCAACTCGAAGGTGGCTCTGGAGCGGTCACTGCGAATAAAGACCTGCGCTCTTCATATTATTGGTCCCTACCTCTGGCATGCTGCGAGATGGATTCAGGCACCAAGAGCAAGGAAGTGGGTTTTGGGCGATCAGAGGTGGAGCCGAACTTTGGTGGGGGCTGCAAAGTGCTCCACAAATATTGTGTGGGTTAAGTATCCATTGATATAACCTGCTAAGCCCGGAAGCCCTCACCAATGAGTGCTCTAAAGGCTCCCTAGCCCTTATGGCCAAGCGGTAAGGCGTTTGGCTCGTACTATCTGACACCAAAAGATCCTCGGTTCGAATCCGAGTGAGGGCATCACTTTTGGCCCAATCACGCTCCGCGCCAACGCCAACACTTCGACAGCAAGCGGGAGCAAGAAGAATATTACAATTTTCCCATTCTCTTTTCCTTTTTACTCATTACTCTCATTTTTCGATATCGCCCTCTCGCAATCTTTTGGGTTTCTCTTTTCCATTTCTATCCTCTTGGAAACCGAAAATCAACACGCTTCCAACACCAATTTGGCGATCAAAATATTGAGGCACTTGCTTTTCGGCCTTGTCTCTCCACGACTCGCTTCGTACCTAGCGCATGTGGCAACAGCCATAAGTCGGCACCAGCGTCTCTTAGCATGAGCTTTAAGTTCAATCAGCCAACCCAGCCGTCGTCCAATGTAATCCTGAATGGCTCTTCCGTCGAGCACGGGCTGAAGGAAACTTGAACGATCAAAGTTTCCGAATCCCTCGTGGACCCACCAGTGTGGCGCGTTTCCTTTTCCGGGGAACTTGTCGACCGATTGGAGCCCCGCCCTGACCTCAGACCATATGGCTGACGGAGGAGCCCCTCACAGCGGCCAGCAGACAAAAGGCGATCCCCGCCGAGATCCGCCCCCGGCGGCGTACTCCAGCCACGGTTTGCCCAGTAGATTCGAGCACATGGACATCCAAACCTGTGCCGAGGACGTTTTTATTCTTTTTGCAATATGACGTGTCCGGCTGGCGCTGGGGTTCGGTTGGCCTGACCATGCAGGAGGAGGTGCGCAGGTGTTGTTGCTGGGGCCCGCCATTCCCCGCGTCTCGCGAATGAGCAACCTCGAAAAGCTTGCCAAAGCTGGCGGGCCTAGACCTTGGCGGTTCCCGCGCAGGGATGCGTGGTATGGTTCGTTTGACACATCCCATGTTCCTGATGTGCCTGGGGTTGATGGGGATCACCAGTGTGGTCATTGGAGGGACGTCTGGAGGGGCAAATGGGTAGATCTCGGGTTAGAGCAGCTTGATTCCTGGCTGCTGAAAGCCAAGGAATTCAGTACCTCTTTCACGTCGTCTTCGAGTTCCGATGCCGACTAGCCCGCTTCCCTCAAGTGATTCGTTTCTTTGAAAATCAGACATACCCGATTGATAGCTCCTTCCTCAGTTCGCCGCTAAATTGTCGCCATCTCTCCATCTCCATCCTCATCTATCTCAAGCCCAAAAGATTGCCTAGATTGTCTTCCCGTTTTTTCTCGTCATCCACCCAGTATCCTTATTGTTCTTTTTTTTTTTTTTCCTTTTAGGAAAGGAAGAATAGGTACTCTGCTCGCGGTACACAAGCTCTCCCAAGGCTCTGCCACAACTCTCTTCCCCAGACTCAACCCCACCATTCCCGCACCCCCTCGGCCCATCTGTCCTCCGCTTAACCCCACGTCATCCGTCCGTCCCGCCTCACAAAAGGCTCTCATTGACATCACCCTACTATCGCCATAACGTCTCTTGATTATCGTTTACCCGAACCCACATAAGCACGACAAGTCGCCACCATGGTCCTCTTCGAAACCGATCGACAAACCACCCGCATCGCCGTCGTAGGCGCCGGCGATGTCGGCGCCGCGTGCGCGTTTGCCTGCATCATGAACCACGTGGCGGGCGAAATCCTCCTCGTTGACATCAAGGAGAGCTTTCGCGACGCCCAGGTCCTCGATCTCGGCGACGCAGCCTACCGTGGCAGTCCCTCGGTTCGCGCCGGGAGCTACAAGGAGGCCGGGCAGTGCGACATTGTCGTCGTCACCGCCGGCGCGAAACAAAAGCCCGGCGAGAGCAGGCTGCAGCTCATCGGTCGCAATATCGACATTCTGAGCACGGTCATCGAAGGCATGAAGCCCTTCCGGAAAGATACCATTCTCCTGCTGGTCGCGAACCCCGTCGATGTCTTGACGTGCTTCGCGCAGGAGGTGGCGGGCTTGCCTAGGGAGCAGGTCATTGGTTCTGGTACCTTTTTGGATTCGATCCGCCTGCGAGGCAAGCTATCACAGAAGATTGGTGTAAGTCTAGTCTCCCTTGGCTTCCAACACCTTTTTTGCTGAACACATGTTCTTGTTCTGCTTCTCTACAAGTAGCCATTCGGATGAGGGGCCGGGGTGTGCTGCTGTAACACTAACACGGCTTGGCATTAGATTTCACAAAACTCCATCGAAGCCTTCGTACTTGGCGAACACGGAGACAGCCAATTCGTGAGTTAATTGTCCATCTCACGCTTATATACGTCCTTGTTCCCCTCATCCTAACCTTGTTTCCCTCATTCCTAGGTCGCCTGGTCTCTCGCCACAGTCTCCGGTATCCCCTTCTCAAGGCAGTTCCTGAAGGCACGTTCGACCGAGATGCCGTCGCCGAGGCCTGCCGCAACTCCGCAGCAACAATCATCGACGGCAAGGGAGCCACCTCCTTCGGCATAGGCGCCATCGTCTCCTCCATCTGCTCCGCCATCCTCTTCGACAAGCGTCTCGTCCGCCCCATCTCCCACTGGGTCCCCGAGCTCGACTGCTGCATCAGCCTGCCCGTGATCCTCGGCCGTCGCGGCGCTTCTCGCAGCATCCCCTCGCCCTCTGCCCCGAGGAGAACGAGGCTCTCGAGAAATCTGCAGCCACGATCCGCGCTGTCATTGCAGATGCGAGGAAGAAGATCAAGGTGCCTCTTCTTGAGGAGATAGAAGCGCAGAAAAATAAGGAAGGGGAGGCGTAAGGGATGCCACTTGAGGGTTAGAGTCCTCTGAAGAAAATCCCTATAATAGTCCTTTTTGCGTACTAGAAGTTCATCGGGTCTAGGAAGGTAGTAACCATTTTGATAGTAATCTAAGTCGGAGATCTTGGTGAATATAGGCTGTCATCTGCCTTGCCACCGGAATTTTCTTTTTGATCTTTTCCGTATTGATTTTGCTTTCCTCGCTTCCAACCCACCATTATCGTACACGCAAGCAAGCCTGTCGGGAACCTCACCCGACGACGTCAAATCTCTCTTCCATGTCTAGGTCATCGTCATTGTCTCGTGAATGATCAAAATCGTCTGTGCCGCTCATAAGCACTTGTGTGACGTTTCTCGCCGGCAGCTTAGCTTTGGGCTTCGGCGCGGGAGGTGCCTTTGCTGGAGGTGCCTTCGCGGGAGGTGCCTTCGCCACAGGTTTCTCTTCCTTGACTATCTCCATCTTGACCTCTGCGTCCTCCTCTTCGACCTCCTCCTCCTCCTCCTCGCCGTCTTCTTCTTCTTCCTCGTCTCCCCTCGACCTCCTCATCTTCGTCATCTTCTTCGCCGTCTCCTTCATCCTCGTCGTCCTCATCGCTACTAGAGCCGGAGCCCTCGCTTTCGCCATCGCTTCCGGGGTCGTAATCTTCTTCGTCTTCGTCCTCATCGTCCTGAAGCGCCTGCTCTGCCTCAAGCTGCGCCTTCTCTAATTCGGACATGCCACCCGTCACATCAGCTTCGGCACCGTTGGTCGGCACCTCGTCGCCCTCAGCGCCCCCAGCCTTCTTCGCCGCCCGTATATTTTCGGCGAGCTCCAGCTTGGCTTTTCGCTGTTCTGCCATGCTCCGGTCTTGCAACCTATTCTTCTTGATGTACGACTCATCAATGCCGCCATAGTCGGCCTGATCGATCATGCCAAACTCCACCTCTTCTGTCCCTTCTCCCTCACTAGCAAACACTTCAATGACCATATTAAATGTCCTCTGGAGAACGCTGGTGTAGCTGACGGCGGATATGCGATCGAGCGGGATGAATAGGAGAGGTTTCTTGTAGCCCCAGAGGATACCGTTCTCCAGGAAGAACAAGTAGCCATCCTTGGAGCCCCGGAAACCCTTGACATGGACGGCCTTTTCCTTGGGCCGATGTGGCTGAGGGATCTCACTGTGAAACTTGTTGGGGTCTGCAGCAACGATGTTGATGGCATTTCCAGCTTTACGCAGATGGTTTTTAAACGCCCAGCTGAAGAGCGTTTGGTATGAATCCGAAAAACTTGAGGCTTTCGGCGCATCGGTGCCTCCAATCGTACCCTGTTTTGGCGCCGTCGCTGGGACGGTAAATACGAGAGGATCAATCGCCGGAGGACCGCCCTTGAGGGAAGCGAGAGCGGTTCCCTTGGGGAAGAGAATGTAGTTGTGTTGGACCTGAGCCTTTTCGGGAACAGGCAGGTAGAAAACGTATTCTGCCAGAGCTAGTGTTAGCCAGGAGGTGCACGCGCGGGCGCCCCGAACAAGGCGGAATACGTTGAAAATTTACCAATGTCTTGCCACCTATACACAATGCCTTGCACAGGGCCTGGGGCATTTGCCGCCCTGGCATAGATATGGTTTGCCGTGAAGCACAGATCAAACTTCTTTCGCTGGGGCATGGACACGGAGATTTCCTTGACCTCGAGGAGAACCGGCTCCTTGGAGGCATCGACCCCGTTCGCACCGTTGGTAGCGGCGCCGGTGGATGCGCCTTCGTCTACTCGCCTCCGTTTCGCAGAGGGTTCGCCATTGGTTTGAAGCTGGTCGTACACGAAGCTCGCGATATTGTTGAACAGGGTGACTCGGGCGGGAGAATCTGGATAGGAAAAGCGCATTAACAAACTGGCCAATTCTAGCTTGGCGCGCCCGCAACCGCTGCAAACCCGAAGAATACAAAGGCAAAAGAAGCGCAAAGGAGAGAGAGAGAGAGAGAGGAAAAAACTGACCAGCGGCCGCCTTGATGCCTTCAATGATATCTGGCCGCGCCTGAAAGACGAGACCGAGCTTCTGAGAGTCGAGTGCGGCAGGCATTCTCGGGAGGATGGGATTCAATCCTACAACTTCAATGACTATATGCACTACGGAACCTCCTGGTGTCGATGGAGAAGGGATGATGCTTTGGGGTGTCGTCGAATTGGCGCCGCCAAACGCGCTTTTCGAGAACCTCGCCGCTTTTGCCACAGCACGGCCATTTGTTCGATGGGTGGGCTGACTCAGCCAGCTTTGGCACGTCTGGATTGTTTGGTGATGGTGGTTTGGTCTTGCGACCGCGCATGTAGAGGGCTTGTTAGTGGGTGGTCGGGCGGATGGTCACTGCTGACGTTGGCTAGTATGGGGCGCGACTTGACTGTGGGATCTGGTTTAACCAAGAAACCCCGCCATCAGAGCCACCTTGACTGCCCCTCGAAAGACCATTCATCCACCTTCCATCAATCCCATCATCTACGGTCCACCTCAAATTTCCAGAGGCACGGCGCGTATTTCCCGAGCTGAACCTGCTAGAGCCGGAAAGGAAGATGTTTCCCAATGTTTATGCGCATAGAAAAGTAGCAGACACAGCGAGCAAAGGATGTGACGTCTGCTACAGACCGACCACAAGCGTGCTCTTCGCGGATGGACCCGATGGCAAGGTAAGGCAGGGGGTATCGCGGAGTGCGCTTTAGGTGGAAAGGCAAGCTAAGTTTTAAATATAGGACTTTTTTACGTTTGCGCCTCGCATCTCAAGGATAGAAATTTCTGCAGTCCCATTATTGACCAGGCGGCCATTGATGCCAAGAAAAAAAGGAGCTTGACGAAGAGGTCGAGCGGGTAAAGAAGGAGTACGAGGAAAAGAAGAAGAAGAAAAAGGAGGAGAAGGAGCAAAAGAAGAAGGACGAAGAGGCAGGCCAGAAAGACGACAAGGATAAGGATAAAGACAAAGACAAGGACAAAGACAAGGACAAGGACAAGAGCAACGACAGCAAAGACAAGAAGAATTCCGAGGACGAGGCAGATCAGTCGAACACATCCAAGGTAGGTGCTTGACCGAGCTGACACGAGGCGTCTTGGTCTCCGCAAAACTCGGCAATTTTCTGACTGGCATTTCGTTCCAAGGCCGAGTCTGCAAAATCAGGTGCTGACGAGCCTCGGGTTTTCGCACTCCACCGGTCAGTTATAGCCCGAGCTTATTCAAGATGCGCGGCCGGCATCTCACCGACGGCAACTGACTTGCTGTGTATAGTACCTTTTATCAACAGCGCGTCGAGAAGAAACGACAGATGGAAGTTGCCAAGCGAAACAGGGAACGCCTTCAGCAGCCAAATTATTTCCCCTCAGTCCCCAAGGGACTCCCTGGGACCTAACGGGGGCGGCGGTCATCGATGTGCTCCTCACTAGAGCCTTCAGTCAAACATAGGGCTGGTTCTTGACGATCGTGATGGAAGGAGTCGTCTGAAGTTCTCTCTGCCGTGTCTTTCTATCTACACCCCTAAACATCAAGGTACTTGGAGTCGACCCGATCGAAGTACCTCGCTTTTCAAAGAGGGTAAAAGTCGTTAATCTCACCTTTCTTACCTGCCCAGGAGGCCGAAAACGTCACCGTTTTCATGCGTGTAAGACGATGGTGGAGAGACTTGTAGGTAATAATACCACTCTCCTCTCCTCTGCTGGCTGGCCACCTTCCAGAAACTATTTCAAACGAATGAGTTATCCCAGAGAATGGATGACCAGGGTTCGCCCTTCATCGGCTGCCCACCAACTGCTCTGGTTAAAATACCGCCCGCCTTTCCTCTTGCTTCTTTTGCAAACCCTCGCATCATCCCTCGATTTTGCCCTCTCTCTTGGAAGATGGGGGCAAGCGACGCACCTTGCCTGGAAATCTGGAAGTCTGGAAACCCTGGATGTCCACGCCAAAGGAACGTGGTGCTTCCGCGCCAAGCAGCCCAATTTCCCAAATAGGCATCTTGACAGTGGCACAGCCGAACACTCGACCTGGCCCCGTCAGCCGCAAACAAATTCAGGGCAGTCTGACATTCTGACATTGCCGTATCCCGGAAGGCCTACAAGTAGATAAATTGGCCCCTGGCCCAGGTTTGCCTGCTTGAGTCGGCCGAAGTGGAAAATATTAATTATTCGCTTTGCCGGGGTCGATTATCAAGGTTGGACACGATTGCGAGGTGGTCCAACGTTGGGAGCCTGGCCGGCTGAGCCCCTCCAGCACAATAAACCCTTGCGGAGGCGCAGTTCCTGATTAGCGCCCTTGAATCTTAAAATTCCCGGGATATCAGACATTCCGCTACTGTCGTCGGCTCAACTTGATCGCCGACTAACTCGACATCCTTTCCAACACGAGTCAAGCCTTCTTTGCTGGAATTGTGAACAGTGTTGAAGAAACTCGTTTCGACCTGTTTGTCTCATGTGATGGATGCAAACGAGCCCGTCTCGACGACGCCTTTGCTGAGTGACTTTTCCTCGTGTGGGGGATGACCTGCATGCACAGAGACTAGTGCTTACTTCTCTCCTCTCAATGGCGTAAATTGCACCCTACACACATGGGTTCATGTCCTGATGACGCCCTGCCCCTAGCCAAAGAAGAGAGATGCCTTTCAGAGGCTCAGAACAGAGCTACTAGCGGAAGTCAAGAGGCGGGCTCACACTCCATCAACTGTTCCTTGGAGCTCGCAAGCGGGAGCGGATCCGGGACAGGGTCGGCGCCTTCAGGCACAAACGCGTATTGCGGACAAGACCTTGACCCTTCGCCCCTGTGGTACGACGATGCTTGATCGCAAGGCCTTGGTCTACCACCCGTCAGCCCGAGAACCAATCCGACACTTTTTCGTGTCTGCACCTGCCGGTGACCTCACCCTCTTCCAATGGATTCAGGCTGGTGTGAAGGTAGCCATCGTGTCATCGCCCGGTTTGACTAATACTTAGAGGGATAGTCTTGGCACTTCGGCGTCAGTGTGCATTCCCTTGGAAGACGTGCGTGGCGTTGTCGACATCTCATATTATGCCTCAGGCGACCCCCGCACTACTTACTATCTCTGCGGGTTACGGACCGGTTAGGCATAGATTCCTGCTGTGCCCTCCTCGAGAGACCCACCCCACAAGGGCCTGCGGACAGTCAATCTATCTTCCACGCTCTAGTCTATCGCAGTTACCCTTGGTAGGCTTTTTCGTGGAGAAGGCTGTTTCACGAGAGCCACAGCTTGACCTTCAAAGTGAAGAAATGACTTCATCAGGGGATGTGTTCGGCTCTAGGGCTGAAAGCCCCCTCCACAACCCTGGCAGAATCTTGTCCACCCCTCTCCGTCGACGCCTTCGCTCTGACGGATTTAGGCTCTCGGGCGAGAAATAGCCTTCCCTACGTGCCCACCAGCGTGTAACTCTGACGGGCTCTGTCCGGCTTCTATTCCCACGCCCCCTCCCTCTTCTTCTGATGCGTCCGGTACCGGTGGATTTGGTCAGCACATCACCTCAGTTCTTGGCTGATGTAGAAGGCTTGTATGGATTTCCGGCGCAGTGGTCCACCCGTTGACGGTTTTTGTTGATGCCGCGATGGTCCGTGTTAGACTCAAGGTAGTGCTTATGGCATGTGTCTGGAAATCAGCGAGTTGAGCGAGGGCTAGTAGCTTCCCACCCCGAAAGTCCTTAGTTCCAGGCACTACCCACTATCGGTTATCCGTCAGGTTCAAGTGCCCTTAAAAGCAGCCCTTGGTACGCCTCCAGGCCCTTCACGGAGCTAACCACGGAGAAACCGATGATGAGGATAACGTCTCGGCCTCCCCGACCTGCAGGTGTGCGTTATCCAAGGTATAGTGTGGGATCAAGGCCGCTGTGGAATTTGATTTATTTATGAGGGAAGGTGTAAGCGAAAGCCGGCTGCATCCAGACAGTGATTCTAATGCTGTGTAGTCACTTAGAACTTTTCGGCCAAGAGTAATGAAAGTGTACAGTCCTCTATCCACCCGTTCGTGGGGTTAGCATCCAACCGGGGCCAGAAGTGTTGGCACATAGCGATAACGCGCGCGCTGAATTTCATTGCTCTCAAAACGCGCCGCCATTCCGGCATGGCGATCGTGACTGGCTAGTGGTAGCGAGGGCCAAGGAGAGACGGCATACTGCAGATTTGGCATCTCGCGTGAGGATATGATCGTCGGCGAGGTGGTTTTCAACATCCCTCCTGCCCCAAGGGCCAAGGCTCCAAAACGAGAAACACAGGGAGAAGTCAATGAATGAGGTGCCAGGCTAGATGCATGGGCCTCAATATACGTCGCGTTCGCGGAAGCAGGAGGCGACGTCCGCGCCCATCCAAGATTACGCGATTTCCACAGGTACAGGGAGAAGCAATCAACGCTGGTTGCCATTTCTTCATGCCAAGACAGAGCCTGATAGGCTTCGTTCTATCGACCGTTGTTTATGACGGACCAAGGCTTCGAACTCGAAATGCATGGTCGAGCGACCTTTAGGTATCTTCGGTTTGTGATTCGCTTGTGCCCGGCTACTTACAGGCGTGGAGCACGTTCGCTGACCACATGTGCGTGAGGGAGGGTCACTAAACCCGACAGCCGATAGGACAGGATGTCGAAGTCTCCCCTCTTTCCTACTTTGTACGCTCGGTTTCGACTCGAGCGAGAAGGCCGACAACCTTTTCTTTTTCCTCTTTTTGCCGTCATAAACGGGCCAATGGCAATGACCAGCCTTGCAAGACTTCGGTCCTGGGCCCCCACGCGACGCCGAAGCTCAAGGACCGCACACCGGGGTGAGTTGAGGGTTAGTGGGTAAGGGTTTGAGGCCATGGGCAGGGATCGGGCTTGCGAGCGGCAAGATCTCCCGGGAGCGGATGGGAGGCAATCTATACTGTGGTACCGCTCGGATTTTGGCGCTGCTTACACCGTTTGTGGCCCAGGACTAACACGGAGGCTTACCCCGGTGGTTGCAGAAGAGCAAGGCGGGGAAAAATGAAAAGTGAGACGAAGGCTTTTCCCCCTTGCCTCCCGTCATCTTGCGGTCATCGGCATTAGTGCAGCTTCCGGAGTTTGACCCTGGGGAAGAAGGCTCGAGAGAAAAGTGGGGGAGGGGTTGGGAGGGGGGCATATTGGCCAAGGATTCCTTGATCTCGCGGTAGTTCCTGTCGGAGGCGGCAGGGACACCTCGGTAACTACGTGAAAAGTCGTCCGTGTCTTGTTCGAGATTTATTTAGAATACTACCGAGAAGCTGCCTAGAGGAAAGCACGGTGAGATTTTGCCGTTCCAAACATGACATGCACGAGAATTTTGATACAACCATTCTTGGATATTACACATAAACGTCATCCTAGTGATCCAACATCAGCGTGCTCGAGCGTATCGGGGCCCTGTCAGCATGTCACGATCTATACTTGGAAAAAAACTGTGGATACCATCTCATTGTCTTCCTGACCGACCCTTGGCCAGCGGACGCTGACTGTGTCTCTTCTCATCCTCATGAACTGTGGCTCTTCTATTTGGCCTGCTTAATCAAGGTCGGCTTCATCCATATTCCGGATAAATTTGCTATACCATTGAACGGTGCGAATGTGGGCAAGTGCGCTAAGCTTCTCGTTGACGGTGTGAATGCCTTCCCAGAAGTCGTAGTCGGGGTCCCAGCCGGGGGCGAAGCGGAAGATGTGGTCGCTCAGGTCCCAATAATATCGGGTGTCTGTGTTGCCCGTCATGAGACCGGGGGCGACAATCATGTCCTCGCCATACAGGGCCCTCGTGGTGCCGGCGAGGATGGAATAAGGGGTCGTGCCGTCGACAGAGGTCGGGGAAACGGGTGCCGGCTCGAGAACGGCCTTGGAGTGGCGAAGGGTGATGGAGCGTAGCTCCGCCTCTTCGGAGTCGTCATCGCTGGGCTCGAACGCGTGGACGGTGAGGCCGTACTTCTTGGCCACCTTTTCCGCGAGGCGCGTGATCTTGTCTTTGACGTCGGCTGAGCTGGAACCGACGTTGATGCGGTGGTTGACGAGGACGCGGGTCTGCTCCGGAAGGGCGTTGACCTTGACGCCGCCGGAGATGACGTCAACGGCGACCGAGGTGGTGAAGAGGTACTTGACCAGGGGCCCGGCCTTGGCGGCTTCTTTGGCGAGCTTATCCTCCTTGTGCTTGTGGCTGTGCTTGCCCGAGGTGGCGTGGCGGCCCGGAAGCAGCTTCTTGAGCTTCTTGGGAAGTCTTCGCCGTGGGCGGCGCCGCACTGCAGGAGACTGAGGAAAGGGTTCTCGTCGTGGATGCGGGGCTCGTATGGGTTGGCCTCGATGAGGGTGATGAGCTCCGACGTGATGCCGATGCCGGTATGGTCGGGTGGCACGGAGGAGTGGCCGCCGGGCATGCGGACGATGATCTCGACGTCGATGTAACCCTTCTCCGCGACGCCGGGAACGGCGAACTCCTTGCCCCACTGCTTGACGACGCCAGCGCCCTCGTCCACCACGGTGGCGATCCCGTTCTTACCATATCTGTCGAGGATGGCCTGCGAGAGGCTCTGCGCGCCGCGGCCGCCCGAGATCTCCTCGTCGAAGCCAAAGGACAGCAGGACGGTGCGCTTCGGCTTGTAGCCGGCGTCAATCAGGAGCTCGATGGCCTCGAGGATGCCGACGAGGGAGTTCTTGCAGTCGCCCGACCCGCGGCCCCAGATGAACCTGCCGTCGTAGTGGCCGCTGAACGGAGGATGCTCCCACTGCTCGATGGTGGACTGCTCCACCGGCACCACGTCCTGGTGGGCCATGAGCACGCTGGGTTTGAGGAGTCGTCGCTGCCGTGCCACGTGTAAAGGAGTCCGTAGGTGTTGATCTTGTCGAGCGTGACGGAGTCGCCCTTGTGAATCAAGGGAAACGTGCGGCGGAGGTAGTCGGCCAAGTCGCCCATCGGCTTCCATCGCGGGTCCTGGTCGACGGGACCCATGTTATCATAGGATTCGAGGGATCTGCACGGCGCCGGCCACCCGGGCTACGGACTCGTTGCGAAACACCTCGGACTCTAGGAACCTGTCCATCTTGTCGAGTCTGCCGCCCTCGTCGCCGGCGGTGGTGGGGTTGAGGGCGGGAACCTGGGCGCATTGACCACCATTGGATGGACGGGAGGGGAGGGGATTCATGCTCTCGCGGGCTCGACAAGAACCAGCTTGCGTGTGTGTAACAAAAGACGAGGAGGTTCAGGAAGACGAGGGCCTCTACGATTCGATAGCGGGGAGGTGCTTTCCTCGCTGAGGGCGGGGCGCCTCCGCCGACGGGCGGCAAGCTCTGGGTCTTTTCTGACATAGCTCGGTGAGAGCCTCGAGGCTGCAAGGGGGCGCTTCCTTACTTCGCTGGATAATTAGGCTCCTCTTTCTTAACGAAGGAGACTATGAAAATAATCAATAAAGAATTTTCGAAAGCGAAACCACTCGATTGTGGTTAGTTTCTTTGAACATTTAAGGAAACGCAAAGACGAAACCAATTCGATGCTCTACAGGTGCGGCACAATTGGCGAGGTTGGCTGAGGATCAATTGATCGAGCTTCGAGGTGGCGTTGAGGTACCTCGGCACGTGAACTGAGCTTGAGTTCAAGTTGACTAGTCGTACTGATCAGTGATTGCTCAGACGCTCTCAGTCAGCAGTTGGAACCTTTGACAATGACGTGCCACTGCCATATCGGAGTTCCGGTGCCGATCAACGACGTGAACGCTATTGGCGCGTGTGTGGAAAGCCCCCACCAACATTGCCTGAATGAGTAATTGGTCGATGAACCACCATTAACAACAACTCGAATGATAGATGGAGTAGATCCCCAGAGATGCAAATAAAACCGCCATCGTCGTCATAGTCTTCATGAATTACCAGTGTCCGACGTGATAAACCTCAGCTCTATGCGTGAACTAGAAGCTCTATGTTTAGGCCCCATATGAGAACTCGAATGCACCCAATAATTGCCATGCTCTTGTTTGTTTAACCGTGCCGCCACTCATGAATGTAAAAAAAAAAAAAGAAATAAGAAAAAGGAAAGTATTGAAACCTGGGTACATGTGATGGTAGTTATCTGAATCCCGTCTACGTACTTCTCCATAAACCGCGCCACATCACAGGTTTTCCCGGGGCGCCATACCTGGAGGCATCCGGATCCCGAGTGAGGCGGGCGGCCTCACCGCCCTCGTCACCACATCGACTTTGGCCTTTGCAAAGAGAAAGCCGGCGTGACCCACTCGCCGCACGAGCACCGAAACCCCTTCCAAGAGTATCGGCCAACCGAGGCGCCGCATTTGGAATTGGGGCAAAAGCCGGCCCTCGAGGTCCCCTTGCTCCAGGGTAGGCCGCATCCACGAGAGGTTCGATGAAGTAGTGCGGGCAAGGCCCAGAGGGGATCGGCGCGTGCGCCTCAACCGTCTTCGCTGCCGCACCGCCGCCGTGGCTGAGCGCGACAATAAAGGGGGCCGTGGCGAGGGTCTTGCGGCACTTGCGACACCTCAGCTCCGGCTCGGCTGCGGAGGCCGCCGACTGCGTGGTCTCGGCGCCGGCTGCGGGCTTTGTCCGGCTGACTTCTTCGTCTTCAAACCTCAATTCCGGCGCCATGCCGCACGCGACGCTCCTCTCGATCTCCCTCTTGTAGGCCCACTTACGGTAGATGGGGTGCGACTCGACATCTTCGGGGCACCCCATTTCCCACCATAGCTTAAGCTGCGACCTGAACCCCCAGTTGGGATCAGCTATAGATCGACTCCTCCTAATCCACTCAATCGCGCCGTTTACAGCCTCGGTAGCGCCTCCCTTCCTAGAGCTTGGGTCGGCTGCGGAAGCGAGAGATCGCCCGAATCGCTGAGGATGTTTCCAAAGAAGGTACGCCGCCGCCGTCGCCACGGATCGTGACTTGCCCATGGCACAATGTACGAAAACCGCCCCTTTGGCTTGGAGTCGTCTTCCCCGCTGGAAGAGTCGTCATCTTCTGATGGGCTTTCCTTGGGGTATAGGCCCTCTTCGATAAAGCGCACAGCCTGAGGAAGATGCACGAGGAGGTCTTCATCGTCGACATCATCAATATCGATCATCATGTGCTTGGCTGTTTTCCTAAAGCTGTCCCAGGTCGGGCCCTTTGTGGCGTCGCCCTCCATCTCCCTTGGCTTGAACCCTACAACAGAGAGAACATGGGTGATGCGATGCTCTATCAAAGCTTTGGGCCGTCGGAGGGCAAAGATGCTGTGCCTCCACGTCAGTGCCGGCCCCACGCTGACGTCCACCTGATGCGGTGAGAGGAACGAACCCCCGGGGTTGAATTCACTCACCTTCCAATATAGAGGTTTTCGCTCCCTCAACCCTATCAAGCGACATTTTTGGGAATGTAGGATCGCTTTTGGAAAGGGTAAACGTATCGGGTAGCTCGAAGGGTACAAGTCGCCCAGATCTTTGGGTCACACAAGGTGGAAATTTGAATAGGCCTTGTCTCTCTTCTTTTGGTATTTTCTTCTTCTTCTTCTTTTCGCTTGTACCCCTGTTTGTTTGAGTCTAGCCCTACGTTACGGTCCACGTTTATCTTGCCTGTTGGTATGCAGTGGTGTGTTTCTCAATTCTTAGATCAGAAGCAAGGAAAATTTGGCACGAGAGCCCCGCCCCCGCTTCCGCCTTGCCAGCAAAGCGCAACGGTGGAGTTTGAAGACTGCCCAAAGTAGCCCCAAGGGATTGACCCTTGTAAATTGAAGGAGAGTTAAAAGGGTCCAGCTGGACAAGAACGGCGAGCAGTGCGAGCACGAAAAAAGAGGAAAAACTCCCTTTTGGGTATACTCAGCTGCACTTCTTTCGGTGTACTAGTGGGTTGGACAAAAGTGAACGGAACTCCTCTGGATCTTGATCTTTAAAAAGTGGAAGGCAAGATTTTAATTTTGGCTTCCTATTGCACCCATAACCGTCTCTGGTGTTCCAATGAAAAAGACCCCTCCCTCACATCTAGGCCTCGGCTCAATCCTAAACTCCGGGAATCGAATAGAAAGATCAAATTGCACAGCTAATGCATATACCGAGGAAAATAGCGTTAACGGAGTTGGCTTGCTCCACTTGAAAATAATGTTTGGTGTTTGCCTCGAGCGAGTGGCGCATTTGGCTTGTGTAGTGTGGTTAGTGTGTGTTGGCTTGGGATGACGTGGGCTCCGCCTTCAAAGGCTGAAGACCAAATGAATCTCGGATGGACCCTCTTGTAGGGCTGAGTCACATGGCTACCTCAATTTCTCACCGACGGAAGCTGCCGTGACTCGAAATCCAAGGTACGACTTCACATTTCCATAGGTAGTGGAGGGGCATTTTGAAGGCCATATTAGAACTGGCAAGACGAATAAGAAATAAGGCGGAAGTGCTGGGGTGCTCCCAGACAGAGAACAGGACATCAAAACGACGCAGCGCTCCACTCACAAGGGAAGAAAGGATCGAAAGGAAGGGAAAAAAGGGTAGGAGGGGGCGGGGAAAGGAAAGGGGAAAAAAAAAAGGAAACCCCCCAAAAAAGGAAAGAGAAATCGAAAGTAAAAAGACAGTCCAAGGTGTTCGGTCAAGAGGAGGTGGGATTTTTTTTTGACCGCTGTTAAGGGAAGGGGGTGTCAAGTGAAGAAAAGTATGGTGCCTTCGACTGCAGTGGTATATTTGCGGTTTGGTCTTTTGCCGATCTTTCCATGCAGAGCACCAAAGCCGAGAACGATCTATTTGGACATTTGGACGTCGTGACCGTTCAACAGAACATTGAAGCCCCAGAGGCCAACTCCTTCTCCTCCTGCTGCAGCGGGGCCGAGGCCCTTTCTTCTGCTTCACACCTCGCCAATGTTCAGTGTGTCCATATCAGCGAGAGCTTGGCAAATTGCCAGCAGGGACATGGAGCCGGCAAAGGCCCCACCGCCCAAGGCGCGCATGGGGAGATGCAGCGTCCCGCATGACAACATAACGCATCGCGCTGCCCTTGAGCTGCATCTGCAGAGATGATGGGCTCTTGGAGTTCTTTGGTGGCCAGTCAGGGCCTGCAACATGGCCCTTCTAGTGGACTTCTGCTCTGCCTTCTCTTCCAGATTCCTTCTTCTCCCTTGGCCAACCCCCACCCTTATCCGTCCACCCGCGAACCCGCGAACCCGCGAAGAAGGGTTCGATCCTCAGAGCAAACGGCCCTTGTTTATGGACTCTCGTCCAGAGCAGCCAGGGTGTCTGGCAGGAAGGCAAAAGCACCTGCATGGACCGACCGACGTGGGAGTTGCTTTCCGAGGTCAGCCGACACTGACCTTACAGGTTAGCCCAAGAGGTAAAGACTGGCCGAATGCGACACCTTGAAGGGATTAATCTCAGGGTCGGTCCCTCCACACCCTTTCCCCTTTTGAGGGACCTCTTTCATTTCTTCCTTCCTTCCTTGCTTCCTTGCTTCCTTCTTCTGTTTTCTGCCTTCTGTCTCTCTTTCCCTATTTTTCTAGCAAGTCTTTTCATCCTCAACTTTGGGATTTACCCCTTTCTCATTGCCCATGTCCCCTGAGAGTTGGAGCGCAAATATATCCGTGGCGCGCGATACACTCGTCAACCTGGGACTGTGTTTACAAGTGCGAAGCAAAGACAAAAGGCGAAATACACGGGAGCATGGGAAATGTATGTGTACTGCCAACAGATAGTACCCCGGAACTTGGCCCGCAAGCGCAGCATCCGATGCGGATGAAGAGCGAGCCAACGTGCCTTGCTTAGGTATCATTGGGTGAGGAGAAAGAAAAATAACCCTCACCTCCTGTTGAGGAGCCCTTGTTCATCAGTCAATGGCGAAGTGTCGTTGCATGGCCTCTGCAGTAGCTGGATCCCGAATGATCGACGTCAATCAATTCCACCACCAACCGCCCCCACCCTCCTTCCTTTTGACGTTGACAAACCGTGCCGAAAAAGAGAACAACAGGCGAAGGATAAATATATCCCAGAGGTCGAGGCCCGTGAGCGAGAAGCAGAATCGGAGGGGGCGGGAGACGGAAAAGAGATCAAAGTCCCCAGAAATGAGAGGAGCACAAATTTAATCCCACCCTCCCGGTGTTCTCCTCACCCTCCTCCTATCCGGCGGCCTTTCTTCTTTAAAAAAATTAGAAGAATAAAAGAGAAAAAAAAAGGCAAAGAGGATAAAGAGACGGTAGAAGTCCAAAACTGCGCGACTCGCAAGCTCGTGGAGAGACGGGGATTTAGTGGCCCTCACGACCGGTACGTGCTAATATCCGGCCGCTGCCTCAACAGGGAACCCTGCACTCCAAACAGTCTCCAAGGCCTCCCGCTGTTTCCTCCTCTTCCGAGCGCCATCAGCCGGTGGCATTGAACCCCATCATCTCACGGGTGAGCCATGATGATTTCCCCACTCCAAGACTTTCCAGGGTAGCATCCGCACCATAATCTGTGCCGTTGCACCCCTTCTCACCCTGGCTCGCACTAACGATTGCCCCTGTCATCTCTGCTGAAAACAATTGAGATATTCGTGGTTGACAGGGCGCGGATGCATTGCTTACTATCCATTGCTTGTGTCTGGGGCTAATTCTTTTCAAGTGCGAGACCGGGAAAAGTAGAGCTGGCCTCCCTTTAGCCATCCATTTCCTCACGAGCTAACACCAATAGACTCTTCGGCGGTTCAATGCAGGCTTGCATCCGATCCATAGGGCTAGGTTGAGGAAGAAGAAAACAAAAAGATGGAAATAGAAGAGGTTTTAGGGGGTGGGGTTTGATCAATGGCACCAAATGGAAAGAAGAGCATCAAGTTCAAAAAGAAAGAAACGTGGTATATTACAATGCGGATTTTATGCCCCTTGGGTTTTCAACCCCTCTTGTCGTAACGGCGTAATAATAACTATTGAAATCATCATGGGATGGCCTTCCAACCCTAGTCACCCGGTGCTGCACCCATCAATCTCTGGCCAAATCCCAGGACTCGGTGGGCCAGCGTTCCTTTCGAGCGTAATACCCAATATCCCTTTTTGTGCGGTTCAACAACTTGCCGCCCTTCCTTCACACCGCCGGCTAGTAATAGAAAAGGAGAGAATACAGATAAACAGGAGGGGGAAGAGATTGCGTGTGGGAAGAACAAGAAAAGCGAAACAGAGGAATTGGGGCGGTGGCCGCAGTAACGCCGCATGCGACAAATAAAGTCCCTTCTCGACAAGGGTCCCTACCAAGCTCTCGGGTCATTCGAAGCAAATTGATCTTTGCTCGACGGCGGCTATCGAACCGTAATAGTGGGCTCTGCGGAGCTTGTTGGTTTGCGTTGGAAGGGAGGTGAAGCGAAGAAATGAGCCCCTCGAGATGGAGAAATTCCCTCTTGCAGCCAAGGAATCGCAAGTGCTGACTGGACCCCCTCGGAGATTCTGTTCCTGAATTGGTAGAAAGTCGAGACGAAGAGGAAGGGCTAGACGGTTTTAAGAAGGCGGATTGGTGTCATTCCCCCATGTCCGTGTCAGGCAAGCAAGCATTGTTGGTGGGCGGCGGTCGCACTGGTTTCGCCAATGAGACTACTCCTTTGGAATCCTTCTCGCCCAGCTTCCCCCAAGGATTCCTATCGAGAGGGCCCCTCCCAACCCGCGTGCAGTGAGACCAAGTATGGGAATCCACAGCCGACACAAGTGGAAAAAGAAAGGCTGAAATGTAAAATAATTTGAACCGCCACCACTCCGCGGTATTTGATCTCTCAGCCTTTGGGTATGGGAAAGAAAAAAATGGCAAGAGTGAAAAAAGCCAGGATCTCGCTATTCTGACGAGGGTTGACTGGTCCGTTGGATGCGTTGGTGGCGGGATCAGCCGTCTGGGAAGTGCTGGCGAGGACGCTGCCTTTGGCTCGGATGTAGCTCGAGCACTGGGGGATCGATCCATCGGCGCCATTGGCGTGGTTCGCAGGCGCTGGAGAAGAACCAAAACGCCCCCGCCCTCCCCTCCTCTTCCCCGCCATTAGCCATAACTTGTAAGCTGAATGATAGACCCGCCAATCCGTGAATCCATCGTTCAAGCCTCTCACCCGCATCCTAAGGGCGAAACGGAGGATATGGTTCAATCCTGCAACAAAGGCCCTTTTTTTGTGTCGCTCGAAGCGAAGGGATTCGAGCGCAAGAGGACCAAGCCGGGCTCATTGACTTTACCCTTCCGGCGCGCGTCTCCCATCCCCGCATTCGCACCTGCGCCCCCAAATCTTCATTGTTGTGCTGGGCAGGCGATTGGTCCTATAGTCCCAGCCCTCAACGGAGCAACATTCCATAGATGGGCGGCCGAAGTCATGCTTGGTGGGCGACAAATGACCATGATCTCGATTGCGAAAGCCAGTAGTATTTTGAGCAGAAGCATGCAATGCCACCCTCCCGCAGCAGAACCCACCGATACTCATTTGGGCGTCAAGTCCTCTTCCATCATGCATGCGTTTTCCAGCATGTTCGTCCATTTCCCGCTTGATCCCGCGTGGCTGTGCTTGAGATGTTGACGGAAGTGATCGGCCCGGAAAAATTTTTGCTGCTGTTGCATTCTCGAAATTTGTGCACGACCGTGAGATGATGGATCCGCTCGTCCCAGTCCTGATCGGATGCTGTGCGTCCCACACCGCCCGCAGTTGCCGGACCGGTGCGTTCGAAATCTCGACCGCAGTAACCGCACGTATCGGCCTCGCCAGGTCTATTTGTACTCTCGTGGAACGCCTGGCTGTAGCTCGTCAGGGCTTTGCAGCTCCAGCTATGGCGTCGAACGTGGAGACTATTTTGGTGTCGCTCCGCTTCATTCTTGTTCTTGAACCTGTTTCCGCAGTACAAGCATTCGTACTGCTTTTCCGCCTCGTGCGCGCTGTAACCAATAAGTTAGCAAAAACAAGTCATAAATTTTGAGCCAGCGCATAACGCGCTGACAAGGTTCAAATGTGCCCTACCATAGTTCCTCGAGCGTTTCAAACTTCTTAGGCTTCTTCGGGCAGCATTCACACATGAGCATAAAGCCCTGCATCCTTTGCCCATTGGCCTTGGTGACTTCGGTAATCTTGCGGGGAGACGCAGTTTGGCGACTTTCGCTGATGTTGCGCTGGTGCGCTCCTCGAGATATCGAGCCTCGAGGGCTCGGGTTCAGGACGTAGCCAGCAGTACCGTCCACGGCGGCGCTGCTGGAAAGGTGAACGGGAGAGCGCCGCCCAAAAGAGTTGACGCTCGTCGCACTGCTTGGGGCAGCAACAGAGAAATTCGAGGCAAAAGACCCGCTTCGACCTGCGGATGAGACTGAAGATCCAGATCCTTTAGGGTGAACGGCAAGACGAGGGGTGGGCGAGCCACGGGAGAGCTCCCTTCGACGAAGGTCACTTTGGCTTCCCATAGAATGCAAAAGGGAATCGTCGCCCGGAGGGGAAGATGCACGGCGTTTTAGTCCAGCAACATGATATTCCTTGGGCTCGTCAAGGTGAAGCCTGCGCAGGCTTGACGTTTCGGCGATTTCCGAGTCGGTGCCGTGTAATTCGTAGCCGCTCCGAGGGGAGGCTGTGGATTCATCGCCGAGGGAAGTGCTGTTTGTCCTTCCCGACCGTCGGCGTCTGGCCGAGTAATCTGTATCAGAGTTCCCACCCGGGGATCGGGGATCTCGACTGTTTGAAGAGAAAGGGCCGAGTCGAGGCGAAACGGCAGAGTGAAGGGGGTCTGGGTAAAGCGCTCGGGTTCCTCAAGAATGGATGTCCTGTATGGCAGCGAGACGGGGACTGAGAGTGGAGGGAGGCGACTCTCCGGAGATAGCCGTCCCGCAGATGAATCCTGGGGACCAAAGCAAGATGTCGGAGACCTATCAAATGTTTTGATAGGGTTAAGCTTATTTTTCATATTATCGCAGTAGTCATCGGCGCTCGTTTGGAATCGATATCGGCTGTGTAAGGCTCCAAATCCGGTTGGCAACGAGTCCTTGGATCTAGATAGTCGCGTCGTGTTAGTTAGGGGTCTTTGGTGCGAACATCATGGAGCAATTGGAGTGGTTGCAGCCAAAGAGTAGAGAAATATCGAGCCCAATGGGCCCGGTACTGTTTCAAATACTTGCCTGGTCGAAGACAAGCTCGCATAGCCTTCATCTTTCTCAACTTTCAGTAATGGCGCGCGATCTCGGCGGTGCCCCATGCTTTCAAAGCTTCCACTTCCGAAAAGACTAGGCTCTCGAGCACTAAACGAGCCAAACGAATCTCGTCGAGGTTCTTTGAAATCGGAGCCGGGGGCCTTCCAAAAGGAAATTGTGGTGGTGGTAAAGGAGGGGGAACGACTTCGTGTCTCGCAGCACCAGGAATTGACATTGCAATTGCACTTGTTGAGGAGGAGAACTGTTCGAAGGGCATGGCTTGGGTGGGGGACCGATATCGATCTGGAGGATCAGAGGCTATAAAGATGGAAGGAAGACTGGAAGCCTCGGGGCCATGCTGTCGACTGAAAGACATGGCGTCGTTGGGTGGAGAGGATATACGAGGGCAAGTTCGGGAAGATGGTGACGACAGCTGAAGCCGGGATTTGAATCGCCACCGAGTGAAGGGGGCAGCTGAACAGGGGTTCGGTTAGTTTGCAACACAGCCAACGAGATCGTCATGAAGCGTCCCAGCGGCGAGGTGTGCGAATTAAAAGGAGGTGTCCAAAAAAGATCTTGACCCGAAAAAAAAGAAAAAAATCCGGTTTGGCCGCAATTAATTTTTGTCTTGTCCTTGTTCCCGTCTGTAATGCGGTGCACCGGAGCAAGCCGCAGGGCCAGTGAGGAGTTGTGGCGACAATATTCGGGGTTACCGCCGAGGTGCGTTTCTGTCTGGGTCAGGCACTAGGGCGAAACCAAATCGCTGTTGGTACGATTGAGGGAGCCAGTCAGGCGCTTAGAGAGCTCGGAAAACACGCAAAAGAGTTATCTCGGATCCGCGGGGATAAGTCGCGTGCCGATAATTCGAAGTGATTCGATATGAAGTGGTGATCGATCTTGACAAGTCTTCCTGGGCGAAGGAACCAAGGCAAACAAGAAAAAAAAAAAAAAAAGAAGAGATGCCTCAAGTGAGGACAATTAAGGAGGGGTGAGGTGAGGGTCAATTTTGGCAGAGGTGTAAGCCGTTGAAGGATTGACGACTGTGGCCCACTGATGAACAGCAGGATTGAGGATTATGGTGAAATCAAAATGGAGTCAATCTCCGACAAGTCTGTCCCTGATCCGAGAAAAAAAAAAAAAAAAAGAAGAAAAGAGAGCACCCCCTTTAGTTGCTAGTAGCGTTGCCGTGGTGGTCTTCTTCCGAGAAACGCGAGGGATCCAAACTGCTGCCTTTACGGAAACGAGACAAGAGCAAGGCCAAAGCCTACAGTGTCGATGTACCCTACGTGATATCGTTCGGGGAACCCGTTGCAGATGAAGAAGGTGCAGCAAGAATCAAGCTGGGCGCGGATTCCTTGAAACTGTCTCGTTGCTCCTGCAATGCCATGCCCGGAGTAGTGATACAGACCGTCAGGGCGAGGCCGCGACTGCTAGTTGTGAAATTGGCCAAAGGTGGCGGGGTAATGCAACTTTTGTGAGGAACGCAAGTTATGGATGCTTAAGGCGTGTGGAAAAAGATGGAAACAAGCCAGACGGTAATATGCAGGTCGTAGCTTCGAGTTGGGAAAGGACAGTCGGAACTTCGAAAGAAGTTGAGACAGATCCAAGCAGAGGCAAGGGCGGGAGGTGCTCGAATAATATGGAGGCCAACGAGATTATGCTAAGGGCTCCTCGCAAGCACGAATTTTAAAAGGGAAGCGCCTGCCAATTATTACTGGGTGTCTGTGGTGCATCAATGTACAGGTTGGGTCGCAGGGGGTGTTGCGTTCAAGGGACAGACATCAAGGGAAGCGGTTGGGACCCATAATGGTGCTCAGCCAATGCAGGCATCGAGGGCGAGCTATCTGCACGCCTCCGTAGGACAATCAATTGATTGATCCATCGGATCCGCAACCTTGGCATCCTGCCATGGGGAAGCAAGTATCGCCTTCTAGGGCGACTTGCAAGCATGGCCGCCGTTGTGAGGTGGTACCATGTCGTCTACACCCTGATACTTGGCGAGGAAAATCGCAGAGTACCCAATCTCTTCTCCGTCGAGGTGGAGCTCAGTTACGGTAAGGACATGGGGGCTGGATCGATTGGCCTGCGTTGACGCTGCACCGGGATGAATCAAGAGTCCGTAACGGTAGTCTTGGCCAAAGCAAAAGCCCAAGCACGCAGCCGCCCCATGCTCGAGCCCTCCACCCTCTTTGAAAACCAACTCGCTTGCTTGCCTTTGCCCGGCGACAAGCCAAAGCCACGGATGTCTCTTGACACCGATCTCGGGTTGAGCGCAAACCACAGCGGAGCGATGGCGAAGAAGCAGGGCTTACCGTGTGAATGACCAAGAGCTTTAAAAATAGGATGCCGCCCGACGCGTCTTCGCCGCTCACATGGTGGATGTCTTGCCATTCTTTTTGAGTGCCCTCCACTTCCACCGGAAAGGATTAATCTATTTCTCAAGCGAGAAAGGACGGTCTGTACTCGCTGGCCAGCGTGGTCCCTGAAGCGACCGTCAGCGAGCTCGGTATCAGCCAGCCCATCAAGTGGGTCCGCAGTGGGGTTCTCCACCCTGTTGGAGGGAAGGGAAGGAGAGAACTGGTGAGGGGTGGAGCGAGGGCCCGGGACGGGTACCGTCAGTCTGCCTTCCAGGGCAGCAGGGCTGGGTTGCTGACATCCCCTTCATCAATTATTCAGTACTTCGTACATCCGACTTAATCAAAGCTCCCGACAAGGGCAAGCGAGGGTTCATTCATTCCACCTTTTTTTCTGTGACTTTCTCTCCACCAACCCTGCCACCCTCCCTCCCTCCCCCACCCAAAAGCGACACATATTCAGGGGAGTTGTGGAAGTGGACCATTACCTCCCACAGTTTCATTTAAATCCCGTTTTCAGCCCATCTGCAATCGCTGCAGGGCCTGACTGGGCTGTCAAGGGAAACTCCAACCATGATAAATCGCGTCTCAATCACGACAACCGGCACAAGACTGACTAAAAAGGCAGGGGAAATCTTCTTGCTGCCTGCGGCTGCATCTGTATTCATTTTCCTTTTCCTTTTCCAGCCTTTATTCTCCCAGGGATCGCAACAATGCCTCGCCAGGACGGGCCCTTCGTCAGACTGCACGGACACACTCTAACTAGTCTGGTCACAAAGCCCGCTCTCGATGTTTTCCTCCCTGAACTCAAACACGTACAAGTTTCGGTCGGGGCTTTTCTACATTTCCGCTTTCTCCCCGCGTTTTCCACAAATGTAGATTGCCGCAAAGGGTGAAAAGTTGAGACAAGGCCCGCTCCACGCTGACGGGGCATTGTACTTGTAAGTTTTGGTGGGTTGTTGGAGGCGTCCGGATGACCGTGAGATCCACAATTGCAGCGGGCTCGGTCTCGACAAGTGATTGTTGATTGCAGTCAGCACGACTGCTGGCTGCCGACGTAACCAAAAAGGCGCCACTCTCACCTCCCTCAGCCGACAATGGCTCTCACCCGATCAATCGAGCGCCTTCGTGCACTACGGAGTTACCTCGTAAAACATCTTGAGACTATAATCTCACGTTCTAAGCTAGTCGCACTTTGGTGCTTATATTGAGGAAAGGCGGTTCCATCTTACCATGTGGTCTTCTTCCTGGCTTGGCAGGAATGCACACCCTCAGGCCAGGAATGTACTCCACCAACCAGCCCCAAGCCTAGCAAGGCGACGCCACTTTGGCCAATACCCAATATTCTTACGCAATGCGGTGCTCACCCTCGGCCGAGCAAGGGGGAAGGAGAGACCAGTGACGAGGGGACTCTGGAAAACGAGGCTCTCGGAAGCAACATGATGACGGAGAGAATCAAGGCCGCGGCGGTGTGGACAAAGGACGAGGTTTTTTTCTTTTATTTTATTTCTTATTATTGTTTTTTATTATTCCGGACACTGAAGTAACAGCAGTCAACTTCGCTTGGCTGGCAGCCGCGTACGAAGGTGATTCTTCTTGTGGAAAATAATAATCCCATGACTAGCGCAGTAGTGCCAGCCTCACTGGCTGTGCGAGTCGTGAGCAAACCCACGTCAGACAACCACTCAGATAGGTCTAAGGGCGAATGAGCCTCCATCCTTCTTTGCTTTCAGTTCAAACCACAGGTCCTCTCTGGAAGTAGACACATCTCCGCAGACGTTACCCTAACATGAGATAGATTCTTGATCTTCTCAATTTTTGACGGGCATTTACCGAGTGATCTTGGATAAAGTGGTAACCGGACAAAGAAAACCAACTGCGTTGCTCTTGGCACAAAACGCAAGTCTTCGACATCACGATGATTATTGTTACCGTGGACTAGTGCTTGTTACTATTATTGTTATCCCGACGTATTTCGCGGCCCAGAGCCTAAAACATAGGCGGCTGGTGGAAGCAGCTCTACCAGCGGGTAATAAGCTGTCTGGGATAGCTGAGGTTCTCCTCACAATGCTTACCGGGCACTTTCCTTTGCTTCATTTTCGCACTCTGTTAACTAGCGAACTTGTCCGACCTGAAGAGACTGGAGGATTTGCCGCGCAAATGCCCAGGGTGAATGAATGCCCATGATGCCGATTTCGAGCATGGGGTGCTGGTGCCGGGATTGGGCGCAGTGGGCATGAGGAACTCTGTTTTTGGCGTCATTGCACAGGTGCGGGAAGAGGATGGAAGTTGAAAGGAATTTCATTAGTGTCTTCCGGCGGCTCGCTCCCGTCCTGTGACCAGCAGGAGAAGATCCCAGCGAGGGAAGGAGGCAGGCCTTCCCCTGCAATCATCGCTACACTACACAGTCAGCCCTACCAATCCCAGATCTGAAGGAAGTTGATTGGCTATCAGCGCTTTTCGCGAAAGCGATGTGGGCAATCAGGAACGAGTGCCAAGCGGATGTGGCGTTCAGCACACACAAAACAGTGGGCCCAATAAAACCTCTGCCTGAGC